TTTACTCTTCTGATTTATTTGACACAATGTTTATTTTTGTGATTAGCTGTCCATGCCTATTGTTTTTTTTTACTTCACTTCTATTTTGATGTTCTTGCACACTATAAATAAAATTCATAAAATCTTTATTTAACGTGTTTGCATATGCATAGTATCCACTTTAAATATATTTGAAACATTAGTGGCCCAGAATTGGGGTTCACCAATAATATTTGATCTGGATGCACTGCCCCAAAGCTGGATTCCGTATAACCATATCGGCTTAATGACGACTTTGTAGTTGAGGAGTTTATTGTCTGTACCCAATTTGCTGTTGCGACCCATAAGCCAGTGAAGGTTTTTGAATCTAATATTGAGTTCTTGCCTCTTGGTCTTTATATGATGGGCCCAAGTCAAGCGACGGTCAAGATGAAGCCCCAGATATTTTACGTGGTCTTGGTGTGGCAGTGTAACATTTTCTAATTTGACTGGTGGGCAATTACCCCTCCTCAGCGTGAATGTAACTTGGACTGACTTGCTTGCACTTGCTTTTATCCGCCAATATTGTAGCCATGTTGTTATTTTATCAAGTCCCTTCTGTAACATATTTGACGCCACGACTGGATCGCTATTACTAGCTAAGATTGCGGTGTCATCGGTAAATGTCGCCGTTATAATACCATCAACTTGCGGTAGGTCTGCTGTATATATTGTATACAAAATTGGTCCCAAAACAGATCCCTGCGGTACTCCAGCCTTTTTATCGTAAAACTTTGATTTTTGTCCATATCTTTCACTTGAAATATTCTCTCTGAAAGATATGATTTTAATAAGGAGAAGTATTGGTGAAGAAGATTGATTTTTAGTTTATAGAGAAGGCCCTTGTGCCAAACCTTGTCGAATGCTTGTTGTATGTCCAAAAACACCGAAGAGCAGTATTGTTTCTCCTCTAGGCTTTTCCTAATCCTCTCGCAGACTCTATGTACCTGTTCTGTAGTAGAATGTTCCTGCCTGAAGCCAAACTGGTGATCGGGGATTATTTTCTCTTTGTTTAAGATAGGCAGCATGCGGTATAACAATATTTTTTCAAACACCTTTGATAGTACTGGAAGAAGACCTATAAGAGGATACTTCATTCGGTGGTTTACCCATCTTGTGTACCATAATGATTTGGGACACTTTCCATGCAAGCGGAAAGTATTATGTTCTTAACCCTTAAATGCATGATTTTTTTGATTTCAATGAAATAAATATATTGTTTTGAGGGTTAAGTGTATTTTCATGGAAAAATAGAAAAAAAAATAAAAATGAATATTTTCATGTTTTTTTTTATTAATAAAAGGTATGTATCAAAAATGATACACTATGCATTATTGACCAAAATATTATTACGTTTTTAGTATTTGTAATTAGTAAAAAAGTATGGTGATACAAGTATAGAATATCAATTTTAGCCTATAATTACGTTTAATTACTGTGAAACAATAAAAAACAGTTAGAATTCTTTTTAGAGCATAAGAATATGTCGCATTTTGAGCATTTAATGTAACTCAAAAGGTTACATTCCGGATACTGACAACGCCTTCTCTTCTCCGTTCTAATTTGATCGTGCCCAATTCTATCCAATCGTACGTCTTTAGCAGGCATAAGTGGTAAGCGGGCACTCTTTTTCTTTTTGCTAGCAGATAGCATCTTCAATGCTTGAACTGGGTCTTCCCCTTTTATTTTCTCGTGACGCTCCATACTTGCAAAGCGCTTCGGCCAAGTCCGCGCGGAATTCTGATAACTCCATAAGAGTTTTAGGGTTGACTCCCTTCTGTTTGTTGACTTTTAGATAAAGGACCCAAGAATTAATTATAGTAATATCCAGTAGATGGTAAAAAATTCTCAAATACCATTTTCTAGTCTTCATTTGGATGCGGTATCGCCCCAAGAAACTGTCCATAAGATCGACACCACCCATGTGTGAATTATACTCTCTTATAACTCTTGGACATGGAATGGGCACTCATTTTTTTTTCCTTTTTTGTCGTATCTCTCAATAGTTTCTACTGGCTCAGCTCCAACATATGTGGACAACAGTATGACCTGTTTATTATCTTTCCAGCTCACAGCAGTGACTGGGGTTCCCTCATAGGTAGACACATTCTCCACGTAATGTCCCCTCCGTATGTCGTTTTTCATAACTTCCGTTTTATGTGGTAGTTTACAATTTTTGCCCAGTCTATTTCGTTGAACAGTGCCGAGGCAGTAAATACCTTGCTGAGCGAAATAATGCATAAGAAGTAAGTTGGTATAAAAATTATCGAAGTAGATAATATGATTGCGATTTCTCGGCACTCCTCGTGTAAGTCTCACCACAGTATCAGAAACTGCACCAAGTTCAGGCTCAGTTGGAAGACGATCATGGATTTCTGTGATCATGGATTATTTTTCCTGAATATATTTCAAACCGATAAGCAAATCCTTGTAAGCAACATAAAACAAATAATTTGAAGCCCCATTTATGAGGTTTGTTCGGCAAATATTGTTTCAAAAAGTGGCCCATCTTAGTAGCACACATCTGCTCATCTAGTGATAATCTTTATTCGAAGGGCAAAGAACCAAATTTTTTATTTAGGTGATCGATAACGGGTCTTAATTTATGCAATCTATCGTGGTTGGGATGGTCTGTGGGCAAATGCTTATCATTATCGTTAAAATGCAGGAAACTCCTTATCTTCTCAAATCTGTTCAGTGGCATTGTTTCTGCTATAGGGGTGAAAGAATGTTTCGTATTCCAGTATGAACGTATACTTGGGTATCGAAAGACAGACATATATGTGAGAATCCCAAAATATTGTCGCAATTCGGTAATAGTAATAATCTCTGACCGAGATGGATTTTTTTGAACACTATATTGATTGCTTTCTTGTACTATACTTTCCAAAAATTCTGTGTTAAAATAGTAGGAGAAAACTGGAATGGTGTTTCTAAATTAGCAATGTCAGATGAAAAAGGATAGAAGATGTCGGACGTTTCAGAAGGAGTTGGGCCGGGTCCATCATCGTATACCTTAGGGGGATCTGAGCTATCCTCATTACCTGTATCCTCATGTATTGTCAAACCTTCCTCTAATACATGTTGGAGCTGTTCTCTCGTAGGATAGAAGTCCATCAAATCATCTCCTTCCGACTCATAATCATCGTCGGATATATCCCCCGCTTCCAATCTCCGAAGTATATCTTCTATCTCATTGTCTTTGCAGTTTTTAGACGACATCGCTGTAAAAACATATAAAAACATGCAACCACCACCAAATTGCCGCACAAAACAATATAAGAATATTTATGCCGTTAGTGCATAATGTATCATTTTTGAAACGATACATTTTTAGGGAAAAAACATGTTGAATCAAAGATATTAGTAAAAAGTAAACACATAAACAGAAAATATGATTAATTACCGATACAATATATTTTATTTGCAGAGAAAACTTCAATTAAAATATTTTTTATCACTATTGATATTTCGACAAATTTGCCGGTCGCGCCAACGTTTGTACGTAGTTCGAAAATGACATTTCAATTTCGCGCGTTTTAAGTGGAGACTTTGTATTTTGAGGCCGGTTCATATGTTTTGTGAATTTCCACAGCAAATAATTGGTTGATTTGTAGTAAAATGAATTCGGTTCATTTACTTATTATCAATTTGACAAATGTTAACCAGGGTTGTACAATTTCTTTTAGCTACAATCATTTTAATATCTTTAATTTCGTAATATTCATTGGTCTTACCTATATTCTTTCGTGTAATATCGTTTCATTTTCACTTATATCCATGTTAACATATAATACCATTGAATTACTGCTCAATGACATTGTGACCTTGTACGCGCTGAAAAGGTTTCTTTCCACTTTGCCATAGGTGGCACACACAGTAGATATATGTACTATGCTAGTGGCAATAATCTCCTTTTGTATTATGTAAAGTGCTTGAGAAATAATTGCACATAGCTATATATCACCGACCACGTGTTCAGCAACTTCCTCTAGACAAAATTAGAGATGAAAATTGGCGCGAAACTGTCCTTCTCTGAGGAAACTTTCACGAAAACTTCCTATACCTTCAAACCTAGTTTTGGAGAGTATTCACTCCACATTGATATTTTGTTTCTTAATATAACCCTAAAATACAATTTCTTAGGTAGGTCAACTTCTTATCGCTAATGATTGTTTTTTGTATATTCCCAGTCTACAAAATTACTTTACTAGTGTCAGAGTAGACATAAATAACAATCACCAATTCAAGGAGTTACAACCTATCTACTATTATTCTATGCGAGTGACCGTAACTGTATTGGATACTTTTTTATTTTTTCGTAATCTGAGTGAGTAATTAACTTGTTTTTATTTACCATTTTTGAAAAGAACTTTAAAACATTCAAAATTTAAATAAAATTTAAATAATACTATTATTCTATGCGAGTGACCGTAACTGTATTGGATACTTTTTTATTTTTTCGTAATCTGAGTGAGTAATTAACTTGTTTTTATTTACCATTTTTAAAAAGAACTTTAAAACATTCAAAATTTAAATAAAATTAGAAATCAGATGCTGAGAAAACACGTTTTTAAACCGCCACTTCCAACTCGAGATACCATTTTTGCTCGTCATTTTAGGGTTTTTCTTCTACCTTTCGTCCACCTTAACAAACTCGCAACATATAGGCCGCAAACTAGACGACCGCGTTCATCAGTGGATGAACTGGACGTATGAGAATATTGAGACGTTACTAGCAGCTCTGAAGTAGTTGTTTAATAGCGTACTACACAAAACCGATATTTTTTTTATTTATCACAGCACATCCATAGACCTACCTGGCTTTGCCTAGTGTACTTTGTAATGGTTTTAGTCTGGAAATCACCGTTACAAAACATATTTGAAGTAGATAGTTTCAATCAATTAAAACGTGTGAATTAGAATGCCACAATATTTTGCTTAATGCCAGAATAATAACTTTTTTAAGGAATAATAAAAAATATTTTAATTTTATTTAATATTTATTTCATTTCTACTGATAGGTAATTCATTTACATATTGCTTTGGGTTTACTTAAATCCAAATCGGAGCAACATATTCAGTTGTACCTACTTATATGACCATGAAAACCGAAAATACATAATGTAAACTCTATCATAACTTAAGTAAATATTATGTAAAATGTTATTTAAATATATAATTTAATGATCACTTAATCTGACGACCAGCGTGCTACATTGAAATCTGAGCTTATCTTCTAAAGTTATTTAATTGAGGGCAAAGTTCTTTCTATAAACGCCCTCATGTCTTTAAGTTCCGCCTCCGATGAACTATGGGTGAGACCTTGGTATGTATTGAACTCGATGTTTTTCATGAACGTCTTAAGAAATGAGGCTGTCATTTGACCCCACTTATAGGGAACAACAGGGTCACAATCACCGTGAGCTTGGAAAATCTGTAAGTAATAAAAAATAACACATGATTCAGAGTTAGTGCGATAGTGATAATACCGTGATATTATTGAGGACTTTAGAGTTCGGAGGCGATAAAAAAGAATTTTGGAATCATTTTGATGAAAACATTATCATTTTCCGCATACCGCCCCGCCTCGACCGGCGTAGATCGGTTGCTATAAAGGTATTCTACGCGGTTATATTAGTCCGCCCTCGACCAACTAATATGGTGCATGATGTAGGGATCTTCATTTTCTAAAGGTGACTGAATGTATGTACGTACGGATTAAAATTATTTTGAGTTTTGTTTCAATGCATAATTTATAAATTAAAACGCATTAGGTGTACATCACACTCATACTCGGCAGGAGTTAGGGACCACTGAAGTATTACGTAACGAATTTTCGCAGATTTTTAACCATCCCTACACCTTATTTAACGCGCCTTAATGTTTTCACTGAAGTAATCAAACCTATTGGTCAGCATGAGAGTTTTTATACGCCAGGAAGAGCTAGTGATGCAAATCTTCCTTTTATGAAAAAGGAAAATGTAAACTTTGGGAGATCTAGTTACCTATTTTTGTATTCAATTAAAAAAACAGATGTTGCGTAACGCATTGTACGAACCCCTCCCCCTCTCCCGTCCCATAATTGATCGTAACCTTTTACAAAACCTTCTCTCCCCAAAACTGCGTTACATAATGCTTTAATGGCTCCTTAGGCGCATGGATATTGGTTTGCCCGAAGACATAACACATGAATCTGATTGGCCGACATTTGGCATGCATCGAAATTTTGCCTTCTGGACACAGTAAGAATACTGTAACAACATTTTTGGGTCCATTCATGCCAGTGCAGAGGAAACACTCATTATTGTGTTAATTTTTCATAATTAAAGTGAAAAAACTTTCATTCTTAACCATTATATTGAGATATATTTTTAGTCAATAAAAAAAACATCATCCTTTGAAAACGATGAAATACCAATTTAAAATTTTTCAGATGGATTCTCCAATGCAATATTCAGAGTCAGAGACTCTGTGCTAGCATGAATTAACTTTTACTGTAAGTGATCATATGCAAACATATAAATGTATTAATACAGTTGAATATAGAAAATGTATGTGTTTTTAACTTCATGTTGGAAATAATGAATGTTGACAATTAATGAAAATTAATATACTGTGCATCTCTTTTTGAACTTTTCTGGTACAAATCTAACATATTTAAATAAAGTAATATTCATTTTATTATTCATTATCACTCAAGTTGTAGTAATTATGTTTTGGTTCAGAAACTTAAAAATTGCAGCTCATTCAAATAATTTTCAACACTACTTCCTGGTGAATTTATGCCAAGTGAATTGTTATGCATTTATCACATTTTAACAATAGGTAATGAATATTTTGAAGAGTTCAATGTATCTTTGACCTTATACATCCTGTTTTGATAATTCAAAATTAAGGAAGACTTTGTTTAGGATGCACATTTATATAATATAAATTAATTATAAGTATTATAATTGTAATAACAGTTACTATAGTACTAAGTAGGATAAAATTGTTTACCGGTATATCTAATGGTGCCTTAACTCCATCTGGAAATTGAGCATGTCTCGGTAGCCAACATGACAGTGACATTACACCAGCCAATCTTTCAGGATAAGTGAGCGCTGCATGAAGAGCCAAAGCTCCACCTTGAGAAAAACCTCCTACTAGAATGCGATTAGAAGGAATCCCAGCCTAAAAAAAATTAATTATAATTTAAATAACTGTTTTAATATCAACTTGTGAATAAAAGATCCTTTGATAAACTTGATGAATTCATTTCATATTGTTTTAACTCTGACTATTCAAAGTATACTTTGACTAGGCGATTCTTGTATGAATATAAAATTCTATTTAATCCATTTTGTCTGAAATGTTCAGATGAGGCTATTTTATGTGATACAATATATTGATTTTTTAAAATCATAGCAAGCAGGTTACAGGTTGAAGAATCATAATTATTACAAATACATTCATTATTTCTGTTAATCACAGAGTCCAACTATCAAATTACCAATATTTTATTGTTTAGCTATCTTGAACAGGCTAGTGAGTATGCAATGCAAATGTTATTTAAAAATCAAATTTAAAAATAATGTATGCCTTGCCTGAAAAAGATAGCATGTAGAAATTTAGTTTAATGATTAGTTTATTTTTTATTTAAATCTAATATTACCTTAACTTCATCTGAAATTAGTCCGTGTACAAGAGTAGTGGCTCTTAATATCCCTTCTTCATCTTCAGGAGCAGTTGCATCAAGAGTCCTCAAGTCAAACCATGATGGCATTCGGAAACCAGCATTTAATGTTACTGGCATTGTCGAAGCTGTAGGGCACACTACTTTTACATGAGGGCCTCTAATCGCTGCTATTGTACTAGCCCACCCATGTCTGTAGTAGATAAAAATATTGTTTATAAAAACCCTAATAATGACATAAGGTTTTAGGTGTGAGGAAACTAAATTACAGTAAATTCAAAATTTTGGATACTTTAACACAATGAAACTAAATGACAGTAATCCTGACAGCTACTAACCCGGTATCGCCTAAACCATGGAAAAATATCAGCTGAAAAATAAAAAAATCCACTTGTTAGATGAAACATTAATGAAATTCTAAAATAAAGGCATTTTACTTACAGATGCTGTATGTTTAGCCGTAGCGGCGATAATTACAGGATTTGGTTCCATTATTTTAGTTGTGAAAATCAATACAACTGCAACACAAGCTCAAATAAGTAAACCTTCTTTAAAATAATAAAATCAGGAAACTACAGCACAGTGATTTTATATGACATATTGAAGTACAAAAATCGTCTAAATTATGTACCTCTTCAAAATTAATTTGAAATTTTTCCAACTATCTATGTGTAATCATGTACGATATGCATAAAATTCGTATGAATGAATGAGTGAAAGAGTGAGTAGTAGTAGTTTCCATGTAGTTTTGTCCATGGGACAGGCGAAGGAACTAAGCCATACAGCCAAATCTTGGGGTGAGAGTGAGTAATTAGAGAGAGAGAGAGAACGACAGTGGCTAGAACAAGGGATGTAGAATAAGCACATAACTAATAGTAATCGATTAGTTATTGAGAAATGCAATCAATTATTTAGTAAATATTGGTAAAAACTGGGGTTCGCGATGGAATTGCCATTGAGGAAGTATTAGAAAATTCATTCAAATTTGTTTCTGATGTAATAAAAGTAAGCCGAATATCGAAAAGTAATAATTATGACAACGTTTCATGTTTCTTATAAACATTTAAATTTATTTTAGTTTTTGAACTGCAAATTTTAGTTAATTGGAAGGAATGATGATTGTTTGTATGTCAACACTGTCATGAGCCGATAAATTCAGCTTATTCAGTATATACTGAAACTTTCCTTTAAAGTATAAATACCTGTATCAAGGGAGACACAGTACTTTTATTTCAAAAATTTATAATGATAAATATATCATTACATTTATGAAATCAAATACTGATTACAAAGTATTCAAATTGTAGATAAGTGTAGGAAAATAATAAATAAAACACCCAAATTTATTTATATTTTTATTGTGTTGATGACCAATAAAATACATACATGCATTAGTTTTGGTGAAATCATCTCCATCATTTAACTGTTTCCCTGAATTTGTATAGATATCTAAGTTTGAACTTTATATTTAGATATCTAAGTTTTGAAGTTTTGAACTAGTGAGGTGCCTTTTTTTTCTTATATTTATTTATCTTTTTTTTATTCTTATATGATTTCTTTTTTTCTTAAAATACTTCCTCATTCATAGAATACTTTCTAAGAAGAATTTATATATTACGCAATGCACCCAGAAATATAAGATTAGAGGAACCATAACGGTGGAGGTGTGGTCCTACTAGATGATGGAGACTACTGGCAAGGGAGACTAAAGGTAATTGTCTCCCTCTGAGCTAGGTGTTGTTAGCCCGGGGACCGCAGTCCAACCGATGTATGTAGGTTGGGTATTCTATTTATGCGAATTAGCAATGAAACTCATTCTGAGTGATGTAGCTTTCCATTTATTCTATATGACTTGTAGTATATTAATTAAAGGTGTGAATCGCCATCTCGTTATTGGGTATTAGAAGTTCTTGTAGTTCCTCTTGCTTTCGATTCTTGTGGCGATGTTAGTGCGATGTGATAGATGTCGCTACGTATTGGTCGTCACAAGATCTTGTGATTTGCGCTTTAATTTTATTGAAATAAACGCACTTTATATTTGAACTGAAATATCAGATGTAAAAGATAATTTATTAAATTTTTTTTTTTTATAGAGCACTTTACTATGATTACCACAAATTATATAGATTTTTTTAAAGGTGGACGTTTTTAGAAAACGTTGTATAAAATGTTTAAATCGATATTATACTAAGCATCAACAAAAATATATATAACGGCGGGTAGTCAGAAGGGGCTATTACGAAGCTCAAATAGATGGTCCATATCGGAGGACTATCTTTAAAATAACACTGCAAGCATGTATACCAACGTGGATTTGTTCCATTTTATCACTTTTTATACGAAAATATAACGTGATGAGCGTGATGTCGTCGGATGTCTTTACTCCTCGATGATCGGAAACAGAATGTCTCCGAAAATGGCGGCAATTTGCTTTTTGTTAACGAACTGTCAAAGTCAATGTCACCATTCTAATAAAATTAAAAGTATCGATGATCACGCTCTCTCTACAATCGAGTAATTAAGTAATCGAGTAACAAGCAATTAAAATAAAAGAAACTAAATCAAACGATCTTCGTAAAGATGATGCGACATATATTTTTACAATATTTATTCTTGCTGAGCAACCATTGAAACAATTCATTTTTTTAGTAACATTGATTTATCTATCGGCTACACATCGCATCCCTAAGAATGTATGCGAGTGAAGCTAAGAGTATATGTTCTGTGAGCATAAAGAGCATGAGTAGGCAGTAGCGGTGTTAGGGTAGGGCGCGGTTGGGCGACCGCCCAGGGGCGCCGGACCAAAAGGGGCGCCACCGGCCGCGGCGCCCTTTTTTCGTCCGGCGCATTTTTCTGGTTCTGTATAATGAGGAAATATTTTAAAAAATGAAAGCACTACAAAAGTACCTCTACTAGACGGCGACTCTAGCAAAAGTTGATTTTTGCAGGAAACGAATGGAACAAAGATAGTCATTTCTGTTCCTTTTATTTAAGTAAGATATTAAAAAAACTGAAATTTGAAATGTTCAAAACTTAGATATCAATACAAATACGAAAAAGTACAAATAGAATATAAGTTGTTGATTGAATTTTGAAAACTAATTTACTTTTAAACATGAAAGAAAACTGGAAGGATTGTAATGGAGAAATCAAGAACGTACCGTAGCGACATCTAGTTTGATTTCGGGAACTAATGTTTCTTTTTCTAATACTTCCTCATTTCCCACAGACAAAGATTATATATATGTATATAGTACCCTCGCTCATTGAACAAGGACTGGGTCGGCGAAAAAAGACAAGAACCGTGAGGATGTGTTTTTGTTTTCAAGTTGCCTCACTTTCAGCATGAATTGAAAGGAAACTTAACAAGCATAATATTATATTATGGTAAAACAGAACAACATACCGATTACCAATATGAAGATATGTATTTTATTAGGTAAGATGACGTACATTGGCGGGCATTATCGTTCGAACATTTAAGAAAATTTTCGTTTGAGCATGTTTAAACGTTAAGCTGAAGCTAAAATGCTGCAATACAAACGAATGCATCGGCAGTGGAGCCTCTGTCTGGCAAGTCAGATGAAATAGCTACTCAAGAGATTGTGGATGAAAAATCCCGAAGTGAGGCAGCAAGTAGTGTTACGATTACAGATGCTGATCAGGATAAATCTGTTATTGATGTACAACAAATACATGTACTAGATGGAGTTGATAATGTTGTCCCGAATATAGCGGATCCAGCTACTTGGCCACTTATTCGAAATAGCAAAATAATTGATCATATAATAAGTAGTGGCCCACTGCAAACTCACTGACACAAAGTTACAACAATTACAAAGTTATACAAAACAATTATGTGACATCCTGTTAGGATGTTACAAGGGTAAAGAGTCTCGACTCAATTTCAATAATTAACCTGTTATTTTAACATCTTATATACTTTAGATTGTTGATTGTGTTCTGCTTCGTCAAAAATTAAAAGGAATAGATCTCGGGAATCCCCGATTATAGAAAAACACATTGTTTCTGTATGGTCGGGAAAGTCGGGGATTCCCGAGAAATTAAACCGATTGAACACTACGTTCCACTCTAATGCTGCCAACCTAACAATCTACCTAAATTTAGGGAAAATTACAAGTAAGTAGGCCGGGTCGGCGAAAAAAGACATTTGTAGTATGTAGTAATAATTGAATTGCAGTTAGGGGGTGCCGAAGAAATTTCGCCCAGGGCGCTAGTAGTGCTAAAACCGGCACTGTGAGTAGGTCTAGTAAATATATAAATTATCTCAATATAAAGACACGGCTGAAGGCCATGGAAGCCAGGGCCGGTAAAATTAAAAAAAAAAAGCATGAGTGAGTGAAGTGATTTGGGGTCATTGGGATCATAGATTAATATTGTTTGGGATTTGAGTTTAATTTACTCTTTGGGTTTGAGAAGTGGTAATTTTCATAAAATATTATTGTTTCAAAGAAATAAGTTTGTTATAAACATTGTGCAGTGAAAAATATGTGTTTGTGTTTTACTATAAACAAAGTTTACCTTGTCAGATGTTAATGCACATATACTTATGCGTATGTTGAAAAGCAGTCAGTTCGTCGTAGCCTCAATTTTGTCACTATAAATAGGTATACAGTTTATTTATTTACATCTTACATTATATTTTTTGTTAATGAGAAATTGTGGAAGGGAATTTTCTTTATTTGCGAAGAGTTCGATAAATTTGTAGAACATTTACAACCTAAGACTTCTCGTTAACAACAATGATTCGCATATTGTTTAAAGGTGTTAAGTGTAGAATAATCTGGACTACAAACTAGAGATTAGTTTAGATACCTACTTGATTCTATTCTATTCTATAAATTTTTTTAGTGTTTTTAAAGTGACTATAAATAAAGTCAGAAAAACAGTTTTTTTTTGTATTATTAAGAACTGTTTATGTATTTATTAAAAATTACCATCAAGCAGTGCTATAACAGCATTAAATAACTGTCTTTAAAGGATTAATTTGATTGAAATTAATGCTGTGATAACACTGTTTCACACCATATTTTTTGAGAATCCCAAACTTAAATAATTTAACCAAAATAAAACTATTGTCTTTTGTTGCAGATTGCCAAAGATGGCGAAAGAAGATGTACTGCTTGGTGTCGAAATGGGAAAATTAGAGATAGAACCTATCAGAGGACCTATAATTGTCAAAGACGAAAATCCATTTATTAATTTATCAAATAAGTCTTTACTTTCAAGAAACAGTTCTTCACAATACCATAAATGCCTATGTAACTCACATAAATTTAGTACTTATGGAATTTATAAGAAAAAGCCAAAAAAGCTAATCAAAGACCCAGTATTAAAGATGCTGCAAAAATGTAAAAATAACGATGACATCAAAAGAGAAACTAACCCCTCAAAAGTTAATGATTCAGATTTGAATATGCATTCAGATTTATTGAATTTATGTGCCCTTGTAGATAACTGTAATCAGTTAAGAATATCTTCAGGTACCAAGCAAAAAAACATAGTAGATAAAAATACTATTAGTCAGAAGATGTGGTGGAAGAATGATTCATCACAAATAAAACAAGTTAGGAAAGTAGCAGTAGAAACAAACACATCTGGTTCTTGTTCACAACAAGCTTTGAATCCTCCTTGCGATGTCACTATTGATGAACTAGCTAGTTATTTTGAAACATTAGTTCACATACCTAAAAAGATGTCTTCAATGGCAGAAATGATGTACATTTAGTATATAGGTAACTATCATACCATATTAAGGATTGTCCAACATTGGAAAATGAGCATTTAAATTGAACTTAATTGTTAATGTTCATAAATACTATGATGATTAGTCAACCTTATCTGGGCTTATCCTGAAATCATACTGTGGTCCAAGTTAATTTTATGGTTTATTGTTTCTCAAAATTTAACACTTTAAATTTTTATGTAATTATAGTAATAAGATTTGAATGTGTTCTCTGATATTATATAGTATTTTCGATAACACAAAAACCATTTTATTTTTATTGTATTCAAAATAGAGGTTTTATATTTATAGAATACAGCAATAGCATCTTTATTAATGTGTGGTGTCATAATAATAACATCACTTTTGAAAATATTACAACTTTTATTTACATTTCCTAGCAGTCATTAATTTTTTACCTCTGACACAGTCATGTCACTTCCTGATAATAAAAGATACTACAAATTTTAATGAAGCGAATTTGAACTCAGTATTGGGCAAAATTTTATTGTAATTAGCAATTGATTAATTGTTAGTTGCGTAATAACAACAATTGATTTATTGTTAACTGTGACATTCAATTAATTATTACTCAATTGTTAATTAAATTTTATTCAAATCTAAGTATCACAAAAGAAATAATATATGGCACAGGGTAGGACTTCCATAAGGTTAACTGATGATTTCGCAAAGTCAACAGGAAGCCTTTGGTTTCAGGCCGCGCTAAATCAATCTTTCTGGGAGTTAGGCTCTTTACTTATGGCTTGATGCGATGCGATCCGATATCGATGAACGATATCGCGTTGCACAGGCCGGTAATGGGATAGGTTTTTTCTTCACACGTTACTAAACAAGTGACAGAAAAAAGGAGGAATTGAAAGAGCGAAAGGAAAGAAAGACAGACAGATGTCTTTCTAATGTTTTCTTAAATACTTTATTTCAAATAATTTGTTCCCGAAATCAAACTAGATGTCGCTACGATACTTTCTTGATTTCTCCATGACAAACCTTCCGGTTTACATTCATGTATAAAAGTAAATTAGTTTTCAAAACTCAATAACCATTATATTTATACTTTTTCGTATTTGTATTGATATCTAAGTTTCGAATTTCGAATTTTCATTTCAGTTTTTCAATATGTTAGTTAAAAGGAACGGAAATGACTATCTTTGGTCTATTCGTTTTCTGCAAAAATCAACTTTTGCTAGAGTCGCCATCTAGTGGAGGTGCTTTTTAGTGCTTTCTTTTTTTTGTAACTACTTCCTCATTACAAATATGATTGAAATATTATTTGATTAACGCCCAACACTGTTTGAACTTATGATTTTCATAGGTAGGTAGCTATTGTGGCATTTACACAATAAGCTTCATAGCTCTATACGATGCAAGTATGCAACTCGATGTCGATGAGCGATATCGCACCAATCGCGTCAATCTATAATAAACTGTCTTTCCACTTAATTTAAAATATTAACGCATTTTCGATAAAGTTCAAAATCAATTCTGGTATATTGAACCCTTAAATTATAAATCTAGCTTAATATTTTTACTTTTTAGGTTTCCGTACCCAAAGGGAAACGTAAAACGACAAACCTATTACTACGACTACGCTGTCTGTCCGTCACCAGGCTATATCTCACCGTGAAAGATAGACAGTTGAAGTTTTCATAGATGACGTATTTCTGTTGCCGCTTCAACAACAAATACTAAAATCCAGAATAAAATAAATATTATAGGGGGTTTCCGTAAAACAAACATGACTTTTTGCGCGAGTCCGACACGCACTTGGCACTTAGTATTTTAGTTTCTCGATAGAAGCTTTATACGTATAATATTTACTCCTACATAATTCACTATGCTTTACTTTTTGGGCATACCTAGATTCTTTTTGGGGTATGACCAAAGAGAATACACAATACGTTTTTTGATATTGACAGAATTGTGCGAAACGCGCAGATAAGCCAATAATAAAAGAAGGATTGGCCTATTTTTAATAATAATGCAAGTTTATAGCACATATAATTTTTACTGGTGTGAAATATTTTTAGAAGCTTATACATATTCCTGTAAATATCTAATTTTTGTGCTTTTCTTCTTAATTACTGCTGTAATCAGTCTTTGGTTATATGAAAACCCTAGGTTCTATAAAGTAAGTACTCGCACACAAAGGAATTAGTTTTGCCAAAACCTCAGTAGTCTTATCAGCTTGTTTGGCTCGATGTCCTCGAGAAGTACTTAGTTTTATACTATGCATTCAAAATATAACAATTTCTCTACACTTAACTTTTTTAATTTCTTATAAAAAAAATGAAGTAGAGTGGAAAAGCTGATATATTCCTGGTCGTTCCGCCTTACCGACATTCAGTTGAATGTCATATTTATCACACTACAGTAAAAATACTACCTAAATTGTGTTGTTTTTAGTTGCAATTAATTCTTTAATAAAACCCGGGCATAACATAATCCTATAAAAGTATCATAAATGAGCCTTTTTTCCGCGACTTTGCCGGCGTAAATTGATAAATATGTGATGGTTAAAGAACTTTCATTATTGGATCAGGAGGTATTTCCGAAGATTATCCCCTACAACAAAGAGTAATCTACTTCTCTGTCCATCTCATCTCGCCGAAATTATTCTTCGTCAAATATTTTCTTTTATGGAATGAATTCCCATTATACTATTAATTAGCTTTTTTAAAACAAGTTGCGTAACTTTTTGTTGGAACAGATTCATTAAATCGTTACTCGTCTTTATATGTATGTATTTAATAATAGATGTATGTGTATTCATAATTTTTAGGTATTATTAATTTATTCATGGGCCCTATCGCGTAACTTTTTTTTAATTCCTAATGGGAAATGCATTACTGCATACCTCGCTTCCCTTTCGCGCATCGACGAGGTTATGTGGGGATCTCCTGAGGACCCGCCCCCTGAACGGGTCGAAATGCAGAAGCATACCCACTTAAACCCATCCATGTCCCTCACTGGCGGACGATGCACGGTTACTGCCGAGGTTGGGGTTGGGGTTACGACTCGGAGACTAACTTAAGCCCTACCCCTTAGATAGGACAAACGACGTGCAATGCCCGGTAAGCGCGTGAATCTACCAGGCTGTCCTTTGTTAAAGACAGGAGATGCGATATGGGACCCCAACAGCGCAGCAACCGGGGCATGATCTATCCCGAAACTAGACGTACCTACATGGTGTTTTGGCCTTCATTACCTGACGCACACTGAAAGTGCTAGGGCTTACCTACCTCCACCGTTACTCTCGAACGCAATCGACATTGTAATTGTGATGTTTTGTACTTTTGATTGGGTACACTAGCGTCAGGGTATTCTAGTGAACCAATCAAGAGTGCAGAGCGGCACGATTGTAATGTCGATCGGTCGCGTTTGCTTTCGAGAGTAAGGGGCCTGAACAAGTTAAAGTAGTTACGCGGTAGAGCCACATTTCGGTTCCCCATAAACATAGACATGAAGCTTTAACAACTTATGCCGATACAAATAACTTATTTGAGGTTTTAGATAATTAAATAATCTACTCATAATTTCTTTCAGTTAATATATAAAATAAGTAAGCAATCTGATTTATCGATTGCTACACAGAGTGAAAATTTGGAAGATAAATACAGTGAATTTGTAATGAAACAAGATGTTTTTTCAATGCAAAACCCAGTCGTTTATAAAGATGAAGAACTCGAAAAAAATATCCGTAACATTGTAATGTAATGTAACAAAAGTGTTGTAACCCATATATTTTATCAAGTGTTTTTTTATTTAACTTCGTTGTTGAATCCTAATTTATTTTAATAGCTTTATTCTTGAATTCCTAGTCAGGTTGCTTGGGTTGAATTTCTCTCATCGCAGTGAATCATACTGATGACCTTCATCCACCTGCGACTCTCCCGCCAAAATAAAGCGCTGATTGATCTTTCGAAATCAGCTTGAAAGCCGAAACACGATAAACGGAGAATCATAAATATTTCCATAAATATTTAAGGCCCTATTACATTTTGACATTGATTTTTGCGAAAAATTATCATTTTGGGCGTTTATCATATTGGAATCAAAAATATACTTATTTTATATACAAATTGTGCTTTACTTTTAATTAACCCCAAAAATGTTTTTTTTTTTTAAATAATATTTGCTATGTATCTTGTTTGAGCTTATGGATCGATATACTTTATCTCTTTTAAAGCCAATCGTGGCTATTATAAAACTAATCGGCCCCTAGTTCCCTGCAGCTGTACTATCCCTAATTACGGTAGTGGCTACGACAACGGTAGGTACTCATCAGACCGACATCCAAGGTTTAGGTTTTTTACTAAAGACAAAATTATTATTTTATTCCCATGATGTTTTATACGTCGATGCCAACTGGTTAAAATAGCCAAACAATGGGACGGCTGTTTCTTCTCTTCTAGTTAAATCTTTATGATATTTAAAACGTTCAGTGGGATGTGCGATTTAAAAGCCGCCGCAATATTCATTTATTATTTTATCCTACCACCTCCGGCTACCTTTGCTGTTTTCAGCTATTCGACACTTAGCTGGGCAATTAAATGACGGTATTCAATTAAAAGGCTAGCCGATCAATTGCAACCAGTTGGCTGCGAGATGCGTTTGCACGTTTTAGCATTTGTAGACGTTTGCAGTTTGTGGTAAGTGGCAAGCATGCGGACGCTGCCTTTTCATTTGTTGAGAAAAAATAGCTCAGAGGTCCAGTTACCTTTGTTTACTGGTTATATATATTTATTTGATAACGCAGGACTAGGGTTCTCGAATTCAGCACTCATCCTGAAAAGGACAGGCTTAAGCGAGGCCCTGGGGGGAAGGACCTGGGATCTTGCAATGAGCCCGCCGGGTCCAAACTGGTTATATCCGTGACTGTTATTTTCAGCTCAAGGGGTTATGGTAAAAATCTCCGAAAACAAGGAGCATTGCGCGAGGTATTTGATGCCCGTTTTATAGACTACATATTAGTGAGTAATTCTCCGGCAAATAAGTGTTTTACATGATGCTACGTCACACAATACAAAAAACTGTTTGGCAAATAAGTTGGTGTAAATCGTCATTTCCTTAATAAAAACAGTAATTATTATTAGTCTATGATAACCAGAGGTCGGAATTAGGTAGAGTTATTTATGTACTTGCATCGAAATGTTGACCTTCCCTACAAATGTGGCAACATCGCGCGTATTGGTATTTTGCAACTTTGGACATCCGATGTCATTGATGTAAGTTTGGTAACGTCGTGCGTGCAGTAATTTAAATTGTGTAAAAGTAAATAACTTTTTATTTAAAAAATCACGGGATTTTTTTTGCTCTTTAAAATTAATCTTGGGATTTGAGGCATATCCACTTTATTCTTTCGCTGTATGAAATCAGTGTAAGTACATGAATAACTCTACCTAATTCCGACCACTGATGATAACACTGGTTATGAAAGGAGCATAACGTCGTTTCATAACATTAGCAGGAGTGAGGATACTGTGAAAAAAAGTTAATTCAGAGACATTATATTTTCTATTTGTTTATTTTAGATTCATAAAGAACTTATTTTTAGCTGATCAAGCTTACCGAGGTTTATAAATTTTGCTTTCTAAGCATGCCCGGCACAACTTCCGAACCTTTGTAACTATTTTAATTATTACAACTGAAATAAATCTATTTTACTTATATCATTAGCAAATATTAATGTTCATGCAGCATGACATTCAAATATTTATCTAAAACTGTACAATTCGTGTAATAAACAGTAAATGTAATTAATTACGGTTTTATTATATAAATACTTATAACAAATAGAAAATTATCAAACATTCCACTACACGACAACGACGACGTGGCCATAAAATGGTTAAGTAATCACTTCAATTACAAATGTATGGATTTGTTCAATTTTTATTTCACCTTTTATAGTGTATTGTCTTTTATGTATAGTCAATTACGTCAGCACTAATAATTGCCTTTCTGTTTATAATAAGAATATACAACAGCCTAATAAATATAAATATACAGTCATGTCGATTAGATTTCTTTGATCTTTTTACAAGTCATTTATTTATAATACATGTTTCAACCTCGTTTTGTGATATCATTACAATTGCCAGTATTTGAACAATAAGTAACATAGAATTTCAAAGAACAATATTGTGCATTTTATATTAATCACTGAGCTCGATTCTGTTGCACATTCACTTAAGTATACATTAAGCATATCACTCTTTTTTTCCATTTAATATATGTACATACGTAAACGCTAGTATACAAATAAACTGACTCTTACAAATGTATCCAATGTTCGATTTAATAATCAATAATGCTTAAATTATCTTTATTTGAAAATTAAAGGCACATACGATAGTGCCGGCACAGCGCCGATCAGTAACGTATTTATCATATCAGTGTCGGGGAAAAATGATATTGTAACCAATGATGTTTTATTATCAGACACGTCATACCCGTACATTATTGCGTTTAAAAACAGCGGAAATTTTATTGTGGCAGCGTAACATTATAATACGACCACAAACGGCACGAAGAAATTAAAAATAGATATTTCCATCAGAATCTTCAGCATACCTCTTGTCAGAACGAGATAAACATACTTGCACAGCTTTACATGTCAACTGTTGCATCCTCTTTGAAAGACGTTTTATTATTTTTTATAAAAATAAAAAAGAGGAAATGATATCTTTTTTAATTTTTTCTTTGTCAATGTGTAATTTGCCTTTCAAGGCAGGAAGAAAAGAACGGCATATTTCTACAACTTTGCACAGAAAATTAAAGAGTGAAACTCAGGAAATTGCCTTGCTTTTTTGTTGTAAATATTGTGCGCAGAGTACTCATCTAAACTTTTAAATACACAATTGATTGTAACATTCTTTTTGTATAACGCTATCCGTACTTATCAGTGATGGTGATGTTAAGTCATGTCAGTGCGGTGCCAATGCTTGCCGGGATTCGACGTTTCTTACTGACTATATTTCGCCTTATTCGATCTTCTAATTTTATTTATGGCTTATCTGCGCATTTCGCACAATTCTGCTAATGACAAGTGAATAAATTAATTTCTATATGTAAAATGAAAAAGAAATGAATGAAAGAAGGCGATGGCCTCCGCCTGATTCGGTCGCTGGCTGTGTGCGTAAAGGCCTTATTTCCTGTTAATAATTTAAATTAAGCATTATTAATTAAACATTTTCTATAGATAAAAGTTTTATGGAGCATCTACATGTATGCAATTTTGAATTGTCTATCCTATACTTGTGTTTTTTATATTATAATAATATCTAAAATCCTTGTCTTTAAAGACAGGTACTTAAATTAAACATAATGTTGGCAGAATGAGCCCAATGTATATATAAATATAGAGATATATTTCATAATATATAACATGATTGACTACAACACACCCTAAATATTGTCCATCTAAATCACCGCTGATAGGGTGTTTAATGAAGAAATATACATTTCATACACAATTCCACAGCTCACATTGCGCACCATTATAAAAATAAATTATAGATGCTCCTAAACTATTTTTTTCAACTTATCTTGGCATATGTTCACTGCAAACCTGAAATAAATAAATAAATATTTTGTGTATTAATCTGTTAATAGAAAAATTTTTAATTACAAAACCAGTACAATACATTAGTACATTATTATAACTACCACTGAAAAAAAAACTTGTACCGAAGAGAGTAAGTTAAACTTGCTGGAATACGAGTGCTAACAGTCATGACATTATAGATTTTAATGCTTTATGATAAGGATTTACACGCGCACACGTAACGCAACTCGAGACAAACATGAAGTGCAAGCATCGACCAATAGTTAAAGAACACAGTTAACGTTAACACAATATTTACTTTAGAGTTGCTAAAACCAAATTTCAACTATGATTTTAAGTTAGAAAAAACCAGGACAATTCAGTATAAAACAGGACGCATTAATACAATAGCACTTATTAAATTATTATGAAATGCAAATAGATTACATGTTTAATAAGTTCGCGTTAAACTTATCGTTACAAACAAGAACAGATCATGACATGCAATACAGAAGGGATTAGAATAATTTAACCTGAACTACAAATCAAATCAAAGCGAACACAGGAAATATTTGAATGAAAAAAAAATATTTAAGTATACAATTACTTAAATATTTGTTTTATTCTGATTTGTAGTATTCGTTATTGAAGCGACAAGAGAAATTCATCATCTGTGAAAATTTCAATTGTCTAACTTTTACGGTTCATGAGATATAAAAGCCTTGTGACAGACGGGCAGATAGCGAAGTCTTAGTATATGGGGTTCCTGTTTTAGTCTTTGGGTATGATGGAACCCTAAAATTACGTTGTGGACACATTACTATAGGCAAATTAGTGATTAAGAAAAAATAATAGTAGTTTATGCAACTGTCATATAAGGGGTATCAAAACACGGTTGACTCGAGTATTTTAATACCTAAGTTATATGCAGTTTCATACATTATTTTATCTTCACTCATAGGGAAAATTGAAATTAAACAAAGTAGGTAGGAATGCAAGCGCCATTTTTTTCACAGTTCCAACAGCGCATGCGTGCGCCTTTTTTTATATTCATCCTAAAACCACAGACTAGTTTAATGAATAAAAAAAGATAGCGGTACTATATTTTTAATTTTATATATTATATATTTTTGTCACGCCATGCCTACCTAACCCAACTTGTAAATAATTACTTGGTATGATTCCGATTATATTAGCAAGCACCATTGCTACCGCAGCACTGTAGCAGCGGCAATGCTGCTTGTCTAATGATTTGACGAGGCAGCATTCATTCAGTTGCTATGAGTAGACAAGTTATCTATTGAGCAACAACTTCTATTTATTTAGTTGACAAAGGAATAAACGCTACGAGACGCTGTTTTAAAACCATTTCATAAGTTATAAGCATAGCTGGGCATTAACTCGTTAATCCGTTAATCGTTAATTAACGAAGTTAACATTTTGATTAACGAATTAACTTTTAAGTTAACTTTTAAAAATGTTAACGGACACGTTAACTTCCGTTAATATGCAGAAGTCCTAATCTAATGCCTACTATTTACCGCACGGTACCGCGGCGTGGCGCGAAAAACAGGTTCAGACAAGTATGAAACGAACGACAAGTGCCGGGCGGCGCGTGGCAGCGCGTGAAACAAAAACAAAACTAAATATATTTTGCCGGCACGTGCGAGTGAGAAAACTGCGAAGATATTTTTTCGTTTGATCATTTCATTACTTAGCGCCAGTGCTTAGAGTGACGAATGTTTTGTTTGTTGATATTATAAATTACTGTCAGTGATCATTTGCGTGTTGATAAAGAAGAGTGAATGTAATTTAGTTAGAAAAAGTGTACTGTGCAGTGTAGTAATTAAAACCATATCATGGAAGACATGGAATTGGTTTCCAGCGGTCCTGATGAGAATCCATGGCCACATTTGACTGAGTATGTGGAATTTGTATCCAGATCGGGCCAGCAAATACTTTTTGCGTGTAAGCGATGCTTGCCGAAAGACACCAAAATAAAAGTTCATGTATCAAGTCTGAATAATTTGAAACAACATGTAAGAAGGGTACATGAGTCACAGTACGTACAGTTTGAAGAGATTGTTAAGGCGGGCTCTAACCGGGGCAAGACAAAAAGGAGAACTCATTCTGACGATGATGATAGCACAAGTAGCAGTAATCCTAATCCCGTTAAAAGAAGAATACAACAGGGTCGACAGCTGAGCATCGGGGAATCGTTCGGGATTGCAGCTACTGGCAGCGGTGTACCCCAAGCCAAAGTGGACAAATGTATAGTAAATTTATTTGTTTCAAACATGATTCCTTTACATGTTGTCGAAAGCAAGTCTTTTGGTGCGTTGATAAAAACGTTAAACTCAAGCAAAAATTCAATTTCAAGAAGAACTTTGGGTAGACGCATTACTGACGAACACATTGAATTGAAGCAACACCTTATTAGGTAAGTTACTAAAATAAAAATAAATACCTATTTATTTTTAACAGATAAACGTCGCCTTACGTATACCTACGTAGGTATAATTTTATTTGAAAAAAGTTAAAATAATTAGGGGTTCATAAAATAGGTATGCATGCATATACATATGTATATAATTTTCATTTATTTATAAGTGCATTTTTTTTACGTGATGTGTTTATAATTTTAATTTCAGTTTACTTGGAAAAATTGATTGGGTGGCAATGACGTAAAGGTTTTATCACAAAAATTATATCTAGAGGTAATAATCCTGAAGTATTTATTTTATAATAAAAAATAACATTGAATATTAACATGTATTTATTTTTCTGTCAACCATACACTTAGCTACGAAAACTGCACATTGATAATGATAACGATCATTATACATTAGTTATTATTATTCATTATTTTTTTTCGGAATATAATGATCTTAAAAAGCAGGCTTAATTTTATTTTAGGACTACTACGGATAATGGCAGTAACTTTGTGAAGGCATTTGTGCAATTCGGCTCGGAGATCGACATACTTCCAGAGTTGCCATCATGTGATTTAGAGTCTGAATTTGACCCTGATATTGCCAATCTTTTAAATCCAAACTCAGAAGAAAATGATGACTTAGAATTTATTATAGTAGAAAACATACTGAATGCTCCTGATCGTCTCCATTGCAATGAAATCAATGAACAGATATTAGAAAACTTTAATACTTCGCCAATTCACATGAGATGTGCTGCACATACGTTCAATCTGGTCGCTAGCAAAGATGTAGATGCTGCTCTACAAATAACTGTTTTCAAGACTCCCTATAGAAGTGCATTAGCCAAGGCACGTACTCTCTGGAATCAGCAATCACGTAGTACGGTAGCAGCAGATAGCATTCACGCTGAATTAGGCAGACGACTTGTCCTTCCAAATACGACGAGGTGGAACTCTCTGTATGATGCTATTGTCGTTCTCAACAGTATATTGGAAACAAAAAGGCCTTCTCTTCACAGGGTTATGACTCAACTAAAAATTCTAACTTTCAATGACCAAGATGTGACTGTAATGAAGGAGTACGCAAAGATAATTTCATATATGTATATAGTTTAAATTAACGTTTTAGTAAAGTTATTTTCTTTCCACATCATATCAATACTTATATTAAATACTTATTTACAGGTTATGGCACCTGTCGCGAATGCCCTCGATCGTATCCAAGGAGAAGCTCAAGCATATCTCGGATCACTACTACCGACGATTGCAGCAACTGTCTATAAATTAAAAAATATTAAATCTAAGGGCCTAGTAAATTGCACAGCTTTAGCCAATGAGTTATTAAATGGCATAGAGAAAAGGTTTGGTCCACTCCTGAATGATGAACAGTGCCTACTTGCCGCGGCATTTCACCCAAAGTTCCGGTTGATATGGCTGGAAACGTATGACAGCAGTAGAGTGGATGCAGTAAAAAAGAGCATGGAAAAAAAGGTAGAAGATGCTTTACGACAAGAAGCAGCGGAAAATTCGAAGGACAGAGATAGTTTAACTGGCGGAGGGAGCAATGCGAGTAACAACGATGATGACGAGGAGGAAGACTTTTTCAATTCTGTCACTCGGTCTATAGAAAAACCAAAGAGCTCCAACTCTTTAAAGAGTAAAGCGCAAAGTCTCGTTAAAATGTGGCTGGACATGAAATCAAAAGACTCGTTCAACGATGCTGCATTCCTCGGGGAACAGATATTCATAAATCTATTTATTAAATACAATACTGCTATACCCTCAAGCGCTGCAGTTGAACGTCTGTTTTCCACGGGTAAAGACATTTTAACACCAAAACGAGCCTCGCTTTCAGACGAGAACTTCAACATGTTAATGTTCATGAAGGGGAATATGCACCTTATGCCCGACGATTAAATTACACATTTGAATTATACAAGTATTTTGTTTTATTCCTAACCTATTAACTTCCAGAACCTAAACCAACAAGTTTTATAAGTTCACTAACGCAACGATATAAAAATGCAATTTTACACATATTAACGGATTAACGATTAACGTTAACTTGCGTTAATTCTTCCGAAATGTAACGCTTTAACGTTTAACGAAGCTAACTTTTTTTGGAGCGGATTAACGATTAACGAAGTTAACTATTTGATTAACGGTGCCCAGCTATGGTTATAAAGAAAATTCAGATAGTAAAATCGTTCACTGCTGTCGCCGATGCTGCGGAGCTCGGACTGTGATTTTATATAAACCTTAAGATTGTATGAGGACCGGTAGTGCTGAGGTGGCATGCATGCTGTCGAGTTCAGAATCATACATTAACAGTTTTATAATTTATATATAGTTTATTTAAATAATGGTGTTGAATCATAAACTTACGGCAGTTGAGCAAGACAACGATGCATAGTTAGATTGTGTATTGGGTGAGCCGGTGAAGGTAGTGGCCGGCACTAGTGGGTGCTGGTGTGGCGGTGGGTGGGTAGCGAGTGGCGACACAGGCGGGGCTCCACTGTTGGCCCCGCTGCCGCCACCGCTTGGACTGCCCGTCGTAGACAACCGTGAAAATGCAGCCAACGCGTCCGGAAAGTTAGGCGGCGTCGCCGGTGTATTGCATGGTGTCATCAACTGCTGCAATAAAATTTGCAAATGTATAAATATATAACCTATAAGATATAACCCTGCGGGAAAAGTTAACAATACTCATTCAAATGTTAATTAATATGCAAAGCAATATACTTAGGATTTCTTTTTACGAGAGTTGCGCGGAAAGATGAGTATGGGGTTTAATAACGATTCAAATTTGATATTTGGCCAATAATTTAAAAAGGTCAAATTGCTATCTTGATTAAATTTAAAGTATTTCTTAATGAAAAAAAAATCCGCTTTGTCCATTACACTCAGAGATAGGACTCGAACCCACGACCTTTCGTAATCCGGGCGACTGCTCTAACAGCTGAGCTACCCAGGACCTAACAGGACTGCCGCAATTTTAGCATAAATTTACTCTGACCTTGACCTTGTTTATTACGAGTTTTATTTGACAATACTATCCTGGAGATGGGTGTTAGTTTCAGTTGCACGTTGCGACGTAACGTTTCTTACTAACTGCCACCAAAGATATTCTTTCATCATAATTCATTTTACCTATACTATATACCTATATATAAAATCAACTATAAAATCGGAATAACATCTGCATAAACAAGATGTTATTCCGATTTTATAGTTGATTTTATTAATTATCTCGGACGTCTCCGAAATCTTCCGTATGGTTCATTTGAGAATTCGGTTGTTCTACTCTCAATTTTACAGCCAATCTTTGTGAAATTTGTTTTGTTTTATTTTTCAGTGATCTAAGCATTGTATATTATTATTTATTTGGGTGTTTTTATTGATTATTTTTATGTATTAATTCAGTATAGGTATCTATAATCATATTAATACTTATTACTATTGCTTTAACTGCTTTATTAAAAAAAAATCGATTTATATTATAATGTGCACAACTTTCCTCCTCACATAACAATATGATTGCTTCTTATAGAAGATCGCCTATTGTGGAAAATGATTTTAAATTCGTAGTTTTCTTTTTCTTTATCTTTGTTGCATGTTGTGCAATAAAGTGTTTTTATCATATCTTATCTTTATCTTATAAATTTTATATGATACATTGTTTATATGATAAGAATTTTACCCGTTTCATTTTATTTGAATATTTGTACAAATTAAGAAGTTTATGGTTAAAAATACTGTATATTTTTTAATAATTATGATTGACTAACTGAACTGACTTGTAATACCCAGGTTGTAAAGAAAATGAGAGATTATAATTCTTTCTAATTTTTTTCTCCAAAAAATTTACCTGACTTCAAATAACATTATAAAAAAATTGCCAATTGGTTCTGGTGAAAAGTTTCATGTTTAACAATTTAATATAATATTTATGACTATTAAACATTACACATAGTATGAAATGATTACCTGCCGATAGTGTGGTGCCGCAATACCATTTGCTCCTGAAGGAATAGCAACTTCTTGAAAGAATATCGACAGTGCCGTCTGAAATAACGTTAAATTCAAATATTGAGAATATAATCTAAGATTTGAAGTTATAACCATAAATCGGAGTAGGTAGAGCTATTTTATGTACTTGCCATATGTTACGATAATATGGATATTTCCCTAATCCCGGTGTTTGCTTTTTAAGTATAAAAATAACAAAAAACTATAAACGCCTTAGAAAGTAATTAAATAATACACTTCATCTCCATCAGGTGAGTATAAGAAGGACGGTTTATGTTTAAGGATAGTAAAATAAATTGATAGAAACTTGATTCATTAAACCACATATATTTTTGTGAAAAAAATTCTATGCGTTATATAAGAATTAACAATTACTTTACATTTTAACTCTGAAGTTGTACAAAAACATTAACACTAGGCACAAATTATTTTTTCCTCTAAAAATCAAAATATGATAAAAAAAAAACAAATTATTTGGTATTTGTTTTAAATTATTATTTCTAAAATTTCAATATGTTCCTGATGTAAAATTTACACTTCGCTCATAAGTTATTGGCTTACATAAAGCTTTTTATAGTTAGTGATAAAAATAATTAAATTCATTAAAATCCTGCAGTATCAGTGAGAATCCCATGGAATATCCATATTAATATCAATGTTTGCGGTCAATGAATCTAAATAGCTCTACCTACTCCGATCAGTGTTTATGATATTTGTGCATAAGGAACAAGGGGGGTCATAACATAAACATATTTATTAATATAAAATCCAGAAACAATAACTGCACTTTAAGGTGATGAAAAGGCCATAGGTGCTGTTATTTATTCAGTATTTATTAGGAAATATTTTATTGCATCTGCGAATCATAAATAGTGGACTTTAATATTAGGGCGTTCATTCAACTATCTTTTAATAACATTGATTTCTATATGTTCGGATTATAGTTCTTATGAATCTATATAGACTCTCCCAAGAAACTATATACATGTAGACAGGATATGAAAATGCCCAAATTACTAAGTTACAATGAGGTTATTTGCTAGTGTCATGCTTTTTGTATATAATTTTAATTACTTAATAGAAATGTTTTGGGATATTGTAATCATAATAATATATTAGGGTAGATAAATTAAAATTTAGGAGTAATCATTTAACACTTTCATTGATCATGGTCACATAGTGTGGCTATATTTGCTCAAGCATATACAAAACTCATTATAGCTTTGTCATAGCTCTTTGAATGTGACATAGAATCTCAATATTATTTTATCTAATCATTCAATATGAAAGCAAACAAAAAAATATACTTTTATTACAAAATGAAATGAAAGTCAGACTCCAAAGAACTATGTAATTATGAAAAATATGACATCAATCAAATTACCTGTTTTGTTTATTATTATAAAGTCAACCAGTTATTTGGAATGTTTTATAAATACTTAAATTTCATTTATACTAATTTTAAATAAAAATATTTTATGTAATTCATAAAAAAAAATTATAGCTTGAATAACACAAGTAACATTCTACCATGACCTAATTACATAATCATAATGATTTAAAATGTTAACTACCTAAGTATTATATAAATGTAGTACATAACAAATGTTTAAATTAAAACAAGCTTATTAATTTATTATATCTTTGAATGCTTTTTTTATGTACTATTTTTTTTATTTTTTATGTTTGATGCTGAACTGTATATTCAAAATTTGTATATAGTTCATTGTTTTCATCACAACCTATTATGTTTATTATTTGATTTAATTTTATAAATAATTAACAGAATGTTGTTGATTTAGAAACACTATACTTTTATGGTGGACAAAGTTCACCATGTTTATTGCAAAGAGCATAGCATTAAGCAAAAAGCATATCAGGATATTTAAATCACATTTTTTAAATTTTATTTTAAACCTTAATACATAGATAAATAAGTGCAAAACCAATTAGGGAAATTTCGTATTAACTTAGGTGCTGTTTGTACACATGAAATGTCAAAATTGTAGACATTTTCTATGAATTCTATAGCTGTATGTAGTAGTGATAACTATTTAGGAACATTGCTTTTTTATAAGTGAATAAAATTAGAGCGGTAACAAGTAATCTTAAACAAAACATTGTATCTATGAAACTGAAACATTAACTTAAGTGGGTAAGGTGCGATTCGTATGCCGACTAGGTATGTAAATACATGGCATAATAATATTTTGGATCAAAATTTAGGAATATTTCTCCTAAGTGTCTTACATATTAATCTTCCAGTAAGGTGTCGTTCTGACGATTACTGCCTTTATTGCGTATTAACGCATTTGATAACCTGTTCATAAGGCGCGCTAGGTAAATAATATTACTCGACAAATTATGCCATTGAAATCTAAAAATATTGTCAAATTTGTCTGCGAAACAACGATATATTGACATTAAATAGCAGTTTAAGACTAAGGACTCGGAGATATACTATTGCAAAATACAAAATACAGCAGCCATTTCATGATTACTGTTTGTTTACATATAATATGAAACGTACCTCAAATTGCCAATGAGCAGCTTGCAATAATTGTCTTGCTTGTTCTTGAGCACATCCTGCCGCCAGAACGAATTGATTTATCATAACTTGTTCACGTAAAGCTGAATCCATTGTGCTCAATTTATCAAACTATAAATAAAACTTTTCCGTCAGAGTAAGAAATATAGGCAAACAACAAGCTTGCAACAAGCAAATAATCGACCAAAGAGCAAATAAGTAAAATAGTAAATGCAAAATCTAGAGGTGACTCAATTATCGTTTAGCGTTTTAATTTTACATACCTACTTATCGCGCTTAGTGCTTACTGCCAACGCTGCAGTGTTCACTTGTGAAAAAGGAGGACATAGGTGCAAAAGTTATAGTTTTGATTGATATTTTATGGGCTATTTATAGATATTTTTCGAGAAAAAATCTACAAGATTTTGTAATTGTTTTAAGTTTAACAGTCTATAGAGCGAACATGTTTGTTTTTGGTCGAGTTTCAAATGGGGGCAGGGGTTACAAACATTATCCAAGTTGTTGAAGTTTAACATAAACTTCCAAAAATATTAAATGAGAATAAGGGCAGTATAGAGTGTTCCATGTTTAACGAGCAGGAGTGACAAACGTTTTTTCAATTTAATTTTTAAATGGCAGACAAATGGTTCATTTATGGCAAACAAACTGAGTGGGTTTTTTAAGTTTTTTTCGAGTTACCTACTTATTAGATATGTATCAGTCGCACTATGCATGTTAGTATCATCTTTCTTGTTTGCTATCGGCGTAGTGATAGATGATATTGACGAAGTTTCGTATTGTTCTACCATCTTATCAGCGAGTTTGGCGATATCGTCGAGTGTGGTATCTTTGGCCATTGTGTCGTTTACGACGAGTATCGAGCGTACGTGTGGTGGTAGATGATTCATCCACATTAGCTGTAGCGTTTTGTCAGGGATTTTTCCCGTAGCGAGCGTTTTCATACGACGAAGCAACTGGCTCGGCCTCTGGTCTCCGAGTTCCATGTCGGAGAGTAACCTATGTAGCTGCTTGCTGTCGGATTCCTCGTATGCAGATATGAGTTTTTCTTTAACGACTGTGTAATAGCCCTCAGACGGTGGTGCGTAAAGTAGGTCGCAGATTTGCTCGACATCTTCCTTGTTTAGCGCCTTCTGGGATTCGTTTTTATGAAGCTCATTAACTGCAGCTTCAAAAACGGCGAACCACAATCGTGGTTTATCGCGCCAGAATGGTGGTATGCGGAGTGGGAGTGCGACGCTGGAGATTTCGTTTGATGTGGACGGCGACGGTGGGTTTGCTTCCGTGTTTGCCATCTTGTGAAAGTTTTTCTTGCAGGAGAAAAATGCGTTTCGAAACAGGATCACGTAGTTCTTCGAGTCTTCGATGTCGTGTCGTTTAAGGATCACGTCGGTTGAAGATCACGTCGGTTGAAAATCACGTCGGTTGAAAATCACGTCGGGGTCACCACTTTAGGAACTGTATGATTGAATGTTTGGGTCCCTACTATGGTGATGGAGACAACTGGCTAGGGAGACTAAAGGATAGTTGTCTCCCTCCGAGCTAGGTGTTGTTAGCCCGGGGAACGCGGTCCTTCCGATGTAGGTTGGACGATTGGACGGTTGGCTGTGACGATGCTAGCCTTCTCGCTATCGATAGCAAGACGAACTGCAATAAGTTTCAACAGCAAGTAACGAGATGGCGCTGTACCAATACAAATAGCATAAATTAATAACTACAAGACATTTAGAACAAAGAAACTTACATCACACAGAATAAGTTTAATTACCAATTAACATAAATAGAACGTCCAACCTACATCGGAAGGACCGCGGTCCCCGGGCTAACAACACCTAGCTCGGAGGGAGACAACTATCCTTTAGTCTCCCTAGCCAGTTGTCTCCATCACCATATTAGGGACCTAAACATTCAATCATACGGTTCCTAAAGATATGCTGATAAAAAAAACATTGGTGTGACTCATTGTAGAAATAAATTCAATTGTTAATGTGCATTTTTTAACCTTATGGCAAAAGAATGTAGATGAACAAAACATAGCAAACCGTCATTACATAGTCCGAATTGCATTGTAATAGTTTTCATAGGCATTTTAAAAAACAATTATCAGCCTCTCAAGTTTTATCCTGGCTTTATTTTAAGACTTAGTTAAGCGGTATGAAATAGGTAAATCACATCACTAGAAGTGTTAGTTAGATACTCTAAGGATAGTTTATTTTTAGGGCAAATGTGCATGTTTTTTGCGTGCTGAACGATTTATATATTGTATTTGTTAATTAGCACGTTCAAATTTTATATATTCTATAGCCGTTTCGAACTAATAATATCAAATAACAGTGCTGCCAACTCAACTGTAGCAAATTATGCCAAAATAATAATTTGGCATAATAAGATAAAATATGTGTAGTTTCAGTTGTTTATTTTGCTTGTATATTAATAAATGGTATTTGTTTATATAAAATTAAAGCATTTGTTTGAAAGTTTTCTGTATTTTATAAAAAATGTTATTTCAGATTAAAATGCTAATATTTGAGACGTTGGAATCTAGATTTGTTAATTTTTAATCTGCACTTTATATGTATATTAGAAAATGGCATGATTTCCCATGCACATCAGACTATTTATAACTGTCCCACTTGATATTAAACCTCATAATGTTGAAGACAGAAGTAAAAGTCCATTGCAATAATTTAATAATTTGACATATCGTGGGAACCTGATTTGCAGCCGTGTGTACATTAACATAAGTTTACACTTTACCATCTATACTAATATTATAAAGAGGAAAGATTTGATTATTTGCTTGCATCGAATAGATCGATTCATCGGTCCGATGGATGGACTAATTTTAAAAATACTTTCACCAATGGGAAGCTGTATAATATGCGGTGAAAATAGGCTATATTTTATCCTGGAAAACAAGAAATGAGGGGATGAAAAATGGGAGACTTTTTTACTGAGAGTATAGTTTTTATTGAGATTTTGTTTTAGTTCAAAGTGGAAAAGATTAGTATTGCAAGAAATTTTTAAGCTTTTTAAGCATCTATATACAGACCAAGAAAGAGATACCTTCATGATAAAACTACTGAAATGAGACTACTTTCTTTTGGGCTTTTCAACATTGGTAGTACTGTCTTAAATTGTCAATTAAACGTCACATTTGTTGTGATAGCAAAAGTTGTCAAAAGATGAAAAGATTTGAAATTATCTTTGGCTGTGTTTAATCAAAATCTCTTAGTACGATTGTTGCAGATTTAAGTCTATCGAAGTAAAGTGGTGGTATTTTCCTTTGATATTGGAGCAGTTTGCTAGAATCTTTGCATTACATATTTAAATACTAATATCATGTTTTGTCTAAGAAAAGAAGTGCTGTGGATTAGTTTTATGTACTTGTTGTACGTGTCTTACGCCTCTAAAGACAAGGAATTTACAAAGGAAGGGCTTATCAATGTATTCAGTAACGATTTTAATCACGAGAGTCATAGGAAAGTTGAAAAAGAATTGTCAAGGTCAAAGCGACTTAGTGAATTAAATGTAACTAATACCAGCGAGCCAAACTCTACAACGACGACTGAAAAGCCTAATACTTCACTCAGTTCCTCTTCAGAAAGTCCTCATGTGGTGTTTGAAATTGGACCTTCTGATTCTAGTATATTATCTGTAGTGGCAGTGAATTCATCATCTTCAATGGCTACACCTAATGCCTCAGTCCCTAGCCCATCTGATCCTGCTCCTTTACCAGGGAAGAGTTCTGCTGAAGATGAACATAACAGTTCTATGGCCATATTTTTTGTACTCTGTATTCTTGCACTTGGTATATTATTGATACATCTTATGCTACAGACTGGTTTTTCATATTTACCTGAAAGTGTCGTAATTGTATTTCTTGGTGCTTTAATTGGTATGGTTATCAACCTTATGTCTATAAAAAATATTGCAAATTGGAGAAAAGAAGAAGCATTTTCTCCTACTGCTTTCTTCCTTGTACTGTTGCCTCCAATTATTTTTGAATCTGGCTATAATCTTCATAAAGGAAACTTTTTCCAAAATATTGGATCAATATTGTTATTTGCTATTGTGGGAACTGCAATATCTGCTTTTGTCATTGGAGCTGGTATATATCTGTTAGGATTGGCTCAAGTTGTGTACAAATTGAGCTTTGTAGAGTCATTTGCATTTGGTTCTCTTATATCAGCTGTTGATCCTGTTGCCACTGTGGCTATTTTCCATGCTCTGGATGTCGATCCGGTTCTCAATATGTTGGTTTTTGGTGAGAGTATACTCAATGATGCAGTGGCTATTGTGTTGACAACTGCTGTGCTAGACTCAAATGACCCTTTGATGTCCACTGGGGAAGCTATTCTGTCAGCTATAAATCGTTTCTGGCTAATGTTCTTTGCTTCTGCTGGCATTGGCGTTCTATTTGCTTTAGTAAGTGCTCTATTACTCAAACATGTTGATTTACGGAAGAATCCATCACTTGAATTTGGCATGATGTTAGTGTTCACTTATGCTCCATATGTTTTGGCTGAAGGAATACATCTGTCAGGTGAAATATATTTTGTAATATTTTAGATTAATTTTATGATTTTTATTATTTTTGAAGTGTTTGTTGACTTATTGAACTACTGTTTCAGGCATTATGGCAATACTTTTTTGTGGAATTGTGATGTCACATTATACTCATTTCAACTTATCAACTGTAACTCAAGTCACTATGCAACAGACAATGAGGACTTTGGCCTTTATTGCTGAGACTTGTGTTTTTGCATATTTGGGATTGGCTATATTCAGGTATGTATGCTTTTTTTAAATTAAAGTTTTCATTTATGCAAGAAAATAGAACTGTTTATAATTCTATAAAGTATGTAACAGGAAGAGGTAAATGTTTAATTAAGGTATTATACAAATGTTATTTCATCATTATAATAGATCATTTATTTAATTCCCAAAGATTTTAGTTATAGATAACCTGTAACTTTACATGTAATGTGGAAAGTATTTATTAGCAATTGTGTTTTTCATGAAACATTGATTAGGAAACTGCATTTTTATGGATTTAGAGATAACTCATTGGATTTTATTGTCTCATACTTGACTGACAGAGTACAGAGGGTCGATATCAATGGCAAAAGATCCCCTGGATCGAAAATTAAGATGGGCGTTCCGCAGGGCTCAATACTTGGTCTTCTCCTTAATGAAGGAAAAACAAAATGCTTAAAATTTGTACTACCTAATGTTAAAAAAGTAGATATAAATGTTAATATAAAAGATAAGAACATGGGCCTTGTGGATACCACAGTATTTTTAGGAATAACATTAGATTCTAAACTACAGTGGGGCCCACATATTGATAGATTGTCGAGTAGACTTAGCTCTGCAGCATATGCCGTAATGAAGATACGTAGGTTAACTGACATAGATACTGCCAGATTAGTATACTTCAGTTACTTTCATAGTGTTATGTCGTACGGTATCCTATTGTGGGGAAATGCTGCCGACATACAAACAATTTTTGTGCTTCAGAAAAGAGCAATTCAATCAATTTATAATCTTAGGATTAGGGACTCTTTAAGGGAGAAATTTAAGGAAATAGACATTACGACTGTTGCTTCTCAATACATATACGAGAACTTAATGTATGTTCGTAAAAATATTAGTTTGTTTTCTATAAAAAGTGATGTACACAATTTTAATACAAGAAATAAAAATAAATTAATGGTGCCTGTCACTAGACTGTAAAAAGTTAATAACTCATTCAAGGGTCTTTGTGTGCACTTTTACAATAAGGTCCCAAGCAAAATACAACAATTAGATATCATGCAGTTTAAATCTACTATTAAAAAAATACTTATTAAAAAAGCTTATTATAAGGTATCCGATTATATAACAGATAAGGATGCTTGGACTTGAGATGATCCAGCAACTGGATAGGTTATAACTTCTAAACTCATTATCTTGTTTCCATTATTATTAAATGATTATGTTATCATTATAAGACCATAGTTTTCTTTTTTCTATCTCTGTTTATAATGTATTGATCTGGTAATGACATGGTTTTTGTAAATGTCATTACTCTTATTAGAGCTGGTGAGTTTCTTGCTCGTTCTTCTTATCAGCCAAAAGACGTCCTGAACGAGTGGTAGGGAAAAAATGTTGGACGATTCAAAAGTACTTTGATAATAATATATACCAAAATATATTTATATTTTATCCACCCATTAAATGATAGAATAAAATATATTCTTATTCAAATGGAGATTAATTATTTTTAAACAGAAGGAACACTGATTTAGTTTTATGTTACTATCAATAGATCAATCAAGTATATGATAAATGTAAAAATGTAGATATATCTTTTGTTTTTCAGCTTTCGGCATCGTGTTGAACCAGCTTTGGTGGTATGGAGTATTGTAATGTGTCTCCTTGGAAGAGCTGCCAATATCTTTCCCCTTGCTCTTTTATGCAACAAGTTTAGAGAACATAAGATAACAAAAAAGATGATGTTTATAATGTGGTTTAGTGGTTGGTATTTTGTTTTCACAACAAATCAGATTTTTGACAGTAAAATGAATTTTGGTATTAAAAAACCGGCTAAGTGTGAGTTAGACTCGCGGACAAAGGGTTCCTTATAATTTATCCATTAAACAAGCAAAAAAAAAATCTCAGATACAACATCACCTACAAATCTGTACCTACTCGAAAAGCAATCAATACTAATTGTGTAGATATGTACTTACATTTTTGTCCACAAGTAACTGCTTATATTAAGTGAAATGCATGGCTACATCGATGCTCTGCTAGTTAAATAGTCACAAAATGAAGTTTTGTATCAATTAAACACTTTCTAACATCTAGTCCAATGAACTGTGGCAATTTTTAAAGTTTATTAAACTTGCCGCAGTTCATTGTGGGATGCGAATTTGTAGATTACTCAATTTTACGACGCGATTTATGTACCCCTTGTATGCAGTTCCTTACGGTGCTGGCGGGCATCTTTTACAATCGAACCCGTGACCTAGAGACCCGTCATCTTGAAGCCACCGTTCTAGCCACTCTGCCACGGAGGTTGTCGGTTAATTACATAGACATAATTTTGAAAGGCCAACTTTGAAACTAAGCCTAAAATTCACTCTAATGCTTTTCTATTTATTTCAGGTCTAAGAGGTGCAATTTCGTATGCTCTGTCTCTACATCTTGGTTTTTCGGATGAAACTCGTCACGTTATCATCACAACTACACTTATTATAGTACTATTTACGACATTATTCTTTGGAGGCTCTACAATGCCTCTGCTTAAGTTTTTAAGGGTAATTTTATTATTTGTTGTTATTAAAATAGAGCGACATATCATAAGTAACGAGTAACTAGAATACGTGCTACGAGTTTCAAGTAGAAAAATCCACATTCAAAATCCACCTAGGATTTATTATCTATGCCACTGTTATAGTGCAAGTAGTCTTTTTATAATGAAGAATATCAATGGGTCCGTAAAATCGCTTGAAACTCCATGTACCTGTACTTGTTTCATAAAAAATGAGCGAGTACCTTGAAATTATACGACATATCGAAAAAGTAATTTTAGCGTATTTTTTATTTTTAATAGAGTATATTATAACGTAAAAATTAAAAATCGATGACATTCCTCGTTGAAGGGAAGGAAATGTTATCATAGGTATATGACCAGGCTCTTCTACCACTGACCTCTTTGCTGTGTATAAAAAATATTTGTCATGAATGCTCAGTCAGGACAATTATTTTTTAATATAGCGGTTTAATAATTATGTTGCTGTTTGATACTTCATAATATATAATATCACATTTATTCACGTTTTTATGTTCCACAGGCTAATAAAAAATCAAAGCGGTCGCGATCTCTACGCAAACAAAAAGAAGTGAGTCTATCAAAAACAAAGGAATGGGGCCAAACAATTGATTCTGAGCACTTGTCTGAAATAACTGAAGAGGAGTTGGAGGTAGGTTCTAGTATAATTACATAAAAATATGTACCACTGATGATATATAACACCTAGATGCGTTACTAGAGGTCGATAGTGGCAACAAGAAGTAAGGTATTGCCCAAGTATCAGATAGTCACAAATCATTAACTGTTCCGTCTACAGTGACGTATCGTGGGTGTCTGCCGTCCGGAGCGGAAGACAATTTCGCTGCCCCTCCTAATTTCACACATAATTGTTCTTAGTCTGGGTTTACTTTGTCCCTCGCAACACAGGACTTGTAATTAAAAAAAAAATGAACTAAACAACTGAAGATCCACGAATAAAACTTTCTTTGAATTTTCAAAGCATCACATACATTCTTAAAGGGACGTTATTAACAATATTGAACTTAATATATATGTAATAGAAGTCATTCTTGCTGTTTATAAGTCATAAACAATCCAAGAACAAAATAAAATACGGGGAATCCCCGTAAGTCACAGTATAGATGATGTTGCCACTCGCTACAAAATAACATTTAAAGAAAGAGTATTCCGAAGTCGTCACAGAAAAAGTAACGAAAAATTCGGTGCTCTATTCAATTTGTCTGAATTTATAGTTGCGTTATGAATTGGTTCAAATATTGAAAAAATATATTTTATTGTTTACTGTGAAATTTTGCCGCTCCCTGAAAAGCGAGCGATATTACTTATAAACTAGTGTAGCTTTAGTTTAGGTTAGATTATAATAATTTTAGTAAAATTATAAAATGGCAATGTTTACAATTTTACGGTGACTAATGCGTATTATTTTCCAGGTGAACTATTCCCATGCTACGAGATTAAGAGGATTTGTGAGGTTGGATATGAAATATTTGACACCTTTCTTTACAAGACGATTCACACATCAGGTTAGTGATGCCTTTGTATTTACATAGGTACTGTAGCTACAGATTTACAGTATCGCTCTCAATATACTTATGTAAATACTTGTAGTATTTTTCAGAAATATTGGTTGTGTTGATACAAACGGAAATTAGTTTTGACGCTTTGTACACATTTGATTACAATTCGATTTTGAAGAATATCCGATTATTACTATATTTTCTTCTACTCTTATTGCAGGAACTTAAGGATTGTAAGAGTCAGATGACAGATCTTACTAACCAATGGTATCAAGCGATTAGGATATCTAATGATCGAGAAACCGATGAGGATGAGAGTTTGGAGCCGAGCTCACTATCAAACTCACGAAGCAGTTTACAAAGAGGCGTGTAAATATATAATATAGCTAATTCATTTATAGTCAAACGTATAGTCAAAAATAACATAAAATTATACTTGTTAAAGTGGAGCCAAATTTTAAAATAAGATCATCAAGAAATAGGTTAAAATAAGATATGTGTTTACTAAACATTTTTGTGATTATTAATTCCGATAATTTTTATGTTTACTCATTTTATTACACTTTGATAATAATCACATAACACGATCCAATAGACTTATGATCGTGTTATGTGAGCTGAAGTACGAGTGCTCTTCTAGACTTTATGCCGTCCGCATACGGTTCATCAGCGTCGAAATTCTTTATGCCGTCCATCGACGTAAGGTCAGATCAGATCATTGAAGCATCGAGCAGACTGGCTTTGTAATAAAAAGAATAGAACTGATTTATTCTCATTTCTACCGACTTGATCTAGCGCATAACTTTCTTTTATATATAAAGTTGCTAGGACGATCGATTAGCCATTCAATTTGTTGAAAGTAGGCATCAACTTGTTTCCTAACAGCGCAATTTGTTGAATCAGCTTAAATTGAAACAACAGGTTGGATTTAGTTTTTTTTTATTGTAACTTTATCGTGTAAAACCAACAAACTATCTATTACTTAGTAGTAGGGAAACGATCTGGGTCTGGTCATTTCATTGTTGTGTGACATTGGCTCACAAAAGATGCGGGCAAATTATCGCTATTCAATGTTAACGATTGTGGTTAAATCAGTTTCGCTTCAATAGGGATCTGGCTTGGTAGGGTAAAATGACGATGTGGCCAAAATCAATGTAGCATACGTCGTAAGAAGGCGGTTTGATTTGCTGTAGCGTCTAGATCCGAGTCATTCCTTGGAATTTGCATTTCAATTTTATATCGCTTTTGTAACAATATTTTTAATTAATGACGTTAATATTAAAAACATAATTTAAAAAAAAACGCACCATAATACAACGTTCCATTATTATATGTGATAATTTACTTTATATTTGTTTTAAAAATGATGTAGCCTTAGCAGAACTTCGATTTGGATAGTATTATTGTAAAGAATGTTTTACTAATTAAATGTTAAAGATTCCAAAACAATTACGAAATTTGGCTCTACTTTTAAAAGTAATATTTTAAGTATATATGTATACTTAGTTATACATCGTAGCTAAATATTATAGCCGGCTTAAACGGCAATTCACTTAATTCGGGCGTGCGACATGTTATTTATTTAATTTTGTAGGTGTTAGTTAATATGTGAAATTCTTCTATAAAAGTTAGTTTTACATTTGAATTTGTTTCATCCCGTGATATTGTTGTTATTAATATTTATTTTAATAGTACACAATGTACAATTTTAGTCAGTATTGTGATAGTATTACATCACTTATATTATTATTATAATTGAATTTTCATACGCCAACGCTAGTGCATGCGGGATCATGCAAGTGTACATATGAAACTGTGAAAATATACGTATTTAAGTTTTGACTAATAAATATTTTTTACTATTATAGATATGTATATGATACTGTAAAATCGTTTAAAAATAAGTTCAGACCCCAAGATGACGATGAGAAATAGTATAAAAAATTTCAGCTTTCTGTAATACCTTTTACTTACATAGGGTCGGTGAATTCCCATCAAATGTGGTCGAGTCATATGTGACGATCTTTCGTCAGACCCTTAGCACTCATTCGCATATCAGAGTTAGCTTTAAATGTTTTAAAGCTCCGAATAATCCAAAGTGCTGCCGTGATCAAATATTTGCGTGAATGTGAAAGTATACTCTGGAATTAATTTGTTCTATTCGAAAGCTTTTTAACAGACGTTAAAAAACTCGTGCGGGTGAGGGCTCGTATGATTGAACTTGTTTAGCTTATTTTTTATTCGGTCTTACTTTTTAATATTCAGTCGCTGTGGAGATAATTTAAGTATTTCAATACACAAAAAGATGATTATTAGCTTGAAATGATTATAATGACGAAATTTAAGTTTACATTAAGTGTACGAAGATAACTGCACATTGTACTTTTTTGGAGACTATATGATTGCATTCCGACAAGAAACATAGTAGTTTAACGGTGGAGGGCAGGTACAGATTATTATTTATAAGATAAAAATCTGCACTGGCCCTCCCCTGACTAGTGCGTTAAGAGTTATACGCATGCAATGTGTGGTCATTAAAGTTTTTCAAGTGCACTAGAGTGGGCCAGTTGTTGGTGTATACTGGCAGACACCTGTCCATGTAGCAGCACAAACTCAAGAACCTTGAGATAAAGGTGAGCGAGACAAAGAGTGATTGATAACTCCCTCATTCTTATTGTGGGCTTATCTCGCTCTCAACCAGTTGTTCGAGCATTTCTCAAGTTTCTGGAGTTTACCACGTGACCAAGTTGCACTTTCTTTGTTGTGATTGACAATCTTGACATGTTCTATCATAACATTACTACTGTCACGGAAATTAACCCCCACAACATATTATCTTAAGCCTATACCTATATTGTTTCCTATAAGTACCAAAAGTTATTAGGTATATGAGAGTGCTATAACATTTTAGCTTTAATGTAAATAGTCATACGTAATGAAATTATGTTGTGAAAAATCAGTGATTTATTTCAGTAGACAATACAGACTTAAGTTAACAAGATGTATGTACAATTGTACATTAAAGGTAAATTGTTTTTAAATTTCTTATAAGGACATTTATGGGCAAAAATAATTTATTTTTGAGGATATATGATTATTAGAAATGTAAATATAACACAATACATGAAGCAAAGACAAACTTTTACTATCATGAAATGAGAAAATAATTATGTTTGATTTTAAAAGCATGTGTTAGTAGCCACTTTGACATTTATACAAAATGTATTAGCTTTTATACTAGAGTATACAAGTCAGGCGTGCGACTGCCTAACGGATAAGTCTCTAGCTACAGGATATGACATCTTAACAACATTATGACAATATTTCATTTCATTTTACTATTTTGATATGTACTTTAGTAATAACAAATAAACTATAAAGCATGATGAATATGGATTTTCAAGGACAGCAAGGTTTCCAATTAGGTTATTATTCCAAATTTATTCACCAAAGACATATCAAAGTGGTAAAATTAAATGAAGTATTGTCATAACACGTCTAAGATGTTATATCCTATGGCTAGAATTAAAGCTAGAGAGTTAGATGATTGCTCTCCCGGTATCGAGACCTTACTCAACTAGTAAGATATCACTGAATCCAGTCTGCCTGGTTCTAAGGTTTATTTATTTTATTACTGTAAAAAACTTTTGGAATTCAAATTTATTTCATATTTGAAACATACTGTCTCTTTTAAACAAGCATTACAAAGGTAACATTTGTAGTATAATAGCTTTATGATTTCAGTGGATATAGAATTAAATAGTTAAATTATATAAAGCTAGCTACAACATTAATATATTTTATTTGCTCAATTTCAATTTAATAAAATATAATAATCCTTGTTGTAGTGTTTTATTCTTCTTCATTTTCTAAATTAATGTGACTTCCAAATTTTCCATATAAATGTGCTTTTAATTCACCCATTTGAGATTTCAGTTCATCACATTTCACTTTTAGTTCACTTATTTCACGCTCCTTTTTACATTTTGCATCTTCTAAAGATTTCTAAAAAAAAGTTTACATAAAGTGCAACAGTTTTGTTGGTTAAATAAAAGGTGCTGATAAAAAATGATTTGTCAAGCTTTTACAAAAGTGACAAAAAAAAAATTTTTTGAAGTGGTTAAGAGGTTTGTAGTACTTAATAATAATGTAATCTTTCTATTGATATAATGAATCACCAAAATTTATGTATGTTCAAACAATTTCCAATTGATTATTTACTAAATTAGATATTTTTTTATTATTAAGGACAAGGTTTGTATAAAGGCTGTATGTCCATAATGGCTGTACCCATAATGACACAGAAGTAGGTTGAGTTGTTTTTATAAGATTAAAAGAAAGTGCATGTTTCTACATCTTACCAATGTATCCTCTAGACTTTGGCAAATAAATACTTCGCCAATTAGATATGGTATCAGTTCTGAATCATCAGCAAGACTTAATTCCTCTACAGCTTCCTCCAAGTTCTTCATATCATTTTGTTTTACCTTCAATTCGTCCTTAATATCATCTACTTTGGCATTCAATCTAGCAAATTTATTAATTTTTTGCTGATCTTCGTAAGAAATGTGCACATCTGAATCCTAAAATATGCCGATTATGAAGTTAAAATGCAGTAAGTATAGCATGTGATTTATTTTTGGTTGGTTGAATTATACTTACAGGTTGAAAAGTTCCTTTGCCGGAATTTGCCATGTTATTAGAATAGTTTTAACGAATTTGTTCTCCTTGGCTCTTGGTAACGAGTCTTGTAAATAGACTTGGACTCCTGGACTGGATTAGATCTAAACAGGAAGAATTGGTTAAAATACAGGAAAAATCATGGCATAAATTCAAAGCCAGAAATAATTCAAACCTATTGGCAGCTATCACTGTCACAATCACATTGACGCAATGATGTTTTTAAAGGCAAAGAAATTATGACCCAGGCTGCCTAATCTTTCATAATATTTTTTTTACAACATCGAAGCCGGAACTTCAGAGATCGTCTTGAAACCGATATATGAACCGTGTGATTACGATTGCAGACTAAATATATGACTTGGACAAAGTAAATTTGGTAAACAAAATCATATACTCGTATCTACTTTCCTTACAAATGTTACATTTAGGGTTAGCTGCACCAACTGACTATAACAAAAACAAATATGTCAAATCAAAGTATCGGTTATGCAAATAATAACGAGTTATCATATGACTATGATTAGATGACGTCATAACTATGTGTAAAAACCTATAATTGGTTTATTTTTTATTACGCTTGTAATTTATGATATATCAATAGCTGTTGGTTTTACAAGATAATAAAATTTAGAAAAATAATAATTTTGCTCGATAACTAAAACCGCCTACAACTTTTGCTGGATAAAGTTATTATTTTACTAACAGAGGATGGTGGATATGCATACGCAAAAAGTATCGGTACCTCATGGTTTCGTTCTCTCTCACCATTTCTAAATTATTATTATTTTAAGAAAAAGAAAAAATATTTTAAACAAACAGATATTTAGGTCAAAACCATTGATGTTTTGACTTTGATAACATCGACATACCGATGTTTTGATTATATATCAATATCGGAACGTTACTCAATATACTATTAGTGGTAATTTTACATGAATTCGTCGTTGTAGTTAGACCTACATTAGATGTCACCGACACAAGACTTAATAAAATAGGATGATCTCCAAAAGTTCTGAAAATAATAACAACTAAGTAAATTAGTTTTATTTCTATTAGTTCTTTGTTGAACTTACAACAACAAAACTACATCAAGTCTCAATAATATTTTTGAGAATGAATGAATAGGATTTATTAATCAGTAACAAAAGTCATAAAAACGATAATTATAATAAAAAATACGTTTATTATCTATATACTTACCCGATATGTATCAAATATATTAGGTACTCGTACAAAATAACATGAGTTCTGGCTAAAATGACGTGTGTGCTAAGTGAAACGTGCAAATAACTTGTGCTTTCGAAATTAAGACTTTAAAAAATTATGATCAGTTATTAAATCTTATATTAAATCATTTTAATAAACATTTAGCAATCAACAAGAAACGTCTTTTCGTAACGAACAACAAGGTTATAACTTTAAATTTCAAAATCATAAAGACACTTACAGTTATTATACTATCGCTACCGATCTTGCATGTCGACGGCGGACGTCGAGCCATGTGTTAAGTTAATTCTTACTGTTCTTACAATAATATTGTTAATAACAGATTGACTTCCTACGCAACCTACTCTAGAAATCAGTTTTATTAAAATATATCGAGCCTTTACCGCCAAATTATCGTAAGCGACACGTTTGTCGAAAATGCTTTTTTCATTTTAAGTAGTATTTGAAACCCTAACGGACCTATCCCTGTTGACGTTTTCCGCCAAAATTTAACCGTTATAAAGTTATAGCAAGTGCTAAAATTATCGTAAATACATGTATTTTTAAAGCCATAACGTAAGCAACAACAAGCATTTTTATCATAAGTGCCTTGCGATCAATTTTTTGTAGCGCAAGTGACACTACTTGTTATCGTAACCGACGTAGGTGATAGACTATGAGGCGTTTACTACAAACAAACCTGTCGTGACCTGTTTATATCCGAAAGTAATTATGATACGACAAACATCGTTCTCGTTGAATTGTAGCTAAAAAAAACAGTTTCAGCCATAAAAACGTTTTAAATTGTATCAGTTATTGTTTCCTTATTGTGTTTTAAATATAGTACAGATAGTTAGCTCGAAAACATCAAATAAAACAGCAATGTCGAATCCTGCAGCTAAGGTATGTATTGTGTTTTAATTTTGGTAATTGAATTGGGGAAAACTTAAATACTAGAACGATCTTGTTCCATGTACTATTCTTCCATTTAACCATTAGAAAACTACTTCACACCTGGGTTCATCAGGGATAATATGGATACTTTTTATCCGATATTGCCATGAAAAATTTTTATTAACCAAAGCAAGGCGAGGGCGCACCATTGGTATAAAATAAGCAGTCATAGTAGGTTACTGCCTACGTTAGTCGTCCATTAATGATTTATTTATTATTCTGTGATTCTTTTTAAGTTATTATTTGTTTTTTATAGTCACGAATGAAGAAAATTATGCAGTTAATATCACCACTTCCCATATCAGAAGATAGTAATTCTGGAACTGCTTTTCCCGAGAACATACAGCAAGATACAGAGGCCCCAGCTTTAGATCAAATCTCACCAACAGACAGCTACAGCGATATTGACATGGACCCAATAATAACTGATACGACATCACCTTCGTTGATCGATTATATTTGTGATACCGATTTAAATTCTGAGCTCAATACTAACTCATTATTAACACTATTACCTCAAACTAAACTTGTCGAATACAGTGATTCAGACACTGAGAATACTTACACTTTACTGGATTTAGATAACCAGAACATAAAGGACTTAACAACTTATGATTCTACTTTGCCAGCTTTCATTAATCAATTGATACAGCCGAGGACCAGTTTTCTGGTTGGTCAAAACCAGAACAAAATATGTCCAAGAATTTGGAGACCCACGACAGCATTGCCTGTATTGATAGCGAAGATTCATGGAAGCCTGCCTCATCGTCCAGTGATTCGGATGACGATAAGTCCGTTCAAACAATAGAAGAAGAAACAAGTGTTGGTAAAAAAGGATATAGGAAAATAAAACCTTTACCAAAACGACTTTTAGCAAAAAAAAATCGTAACGCTGCTGTAGGGAAATCTATGCAACCAAACCCTTGTATGAATAAAAAATGTGGTAACTCATGTGCAAATAAATTTACAGAAGATGATCGCAATAATATTTTTGAAAACTATTGGGGATTAGGTTGTGATAAAAGACAAAAAGATTTCCTGCTGTCATGTGCTAAAGAAAAACCGATTGGAAGAAAAAGATCCAGTAGTAATATCCGTAAAATATCATACGATTATTTTATCAGCTACAATGGACAGAAAGTTAAAGTATGTCAACAATTTTTGCTTAAGACCCTAAACATATCCCAAATGTCTATGAGATATACCATCGAAAATGCCAATAAAACTCTGAATACCACTCGAGATGGCAGAAGAACTAGTCGTCCTCATAATAAATCTGATGAGGTAGAAGTCGCACAGTTAAAATTATTTATTGAGATGTTGCCTGCTGTTCCATCCCATTATTGTCGCAATAAAAGCACTAAAGTATATTTACCTCAAGAATTTCAAAATATATCGTTTTTGTATTTACAGTATGTTAATTACGTAAAAGAAAATAATCCAGAATCATCAGTATTATCAAAAAGAGTATTTCGTAACATTTTTAAAAAGGATTTTAATATCGGATTCCATCTGCCAAAAAAAGATAAATGTGCTTTTTGTGAGAAGTGCAAAAATTTATCACCTGAACACAAAATTATTTTTGAACAAACACCTGAATATAAAAATCACATTCTAGATAAAGAAAAATGTAAGCAACTGTTTTTAGAAGACCAAAAAATGAGCAAATTAACTGATTCTAACTCCTTGTGCGTAAGTTTTGATTTAGAAAAAGTTCTGAATACTCCACACGGTAAAAGTGTTACCCTATACTATTCCAGGAAGTATGCATACTATAATGAAAGTATATACGAAAGTGGTACAAGGGAAGGTTACTGTTACCTGTGGGGTGAACGCGACGGAAAAAGGGGCTGTAATGAAATCGTTACAGTCCTTTTTAAATACTTGATTATGGTAGACCAAAGAGGTACCCATACAGAGATAAATTTATACTCCGATAGCTGTGCCGGGCAAAATAGGAATCGCGCAATGATATCCATGTTAATTCATTTCTTGAAAACCGCAATTACTATTACACGAATAAAGGTAACTTATCTTTTACCGGGACACACCATGATGCCTGTTGATTCTATTCATAGCACTATTGAAAATTTTGTGCGTAATAAAACAGTATGGGCTCCTTCTGAGTGGCCAACTATGATTACTAATGCTAGAAATAAGCCTAGAAACTACATTATAAATGTTTTAAACTACGGAGACTTCATGGATTGGAAGAATTTTTCGCAAGCTTTATTACCGGCTAAATTTAAAATTAATTTTAGTTCATTAAGGGCGGTGCAATTTCATAAAAATAATCCTATTATTAAATTTCAATACGGTTTTTTCGAAGATAGTGACAATTACGAAATAAACATGGATTTCATCATCAGATCAAGAGCAAACAAAGCTATTGTCGAAAAGGGGCCTACACCTTTATACGTCGAAGAGCTCAAACTTTCATCAGCTAAATACCAAGATTTACAGGATCTGTGTAACAAAAACGTGATTCCAAACAGATACCATCAAGAATATTTAAGTATGAAGCATGATGGAAACGTACGTGATGCTTTAGCTGAAACAGATGAGGATGAGGAGATTTAAAAATATTTAATTTTATTTTATATTAATACAATATCTCACTATTCCAAATAATTTATATAATTATTTAATGTTTGACACAGTGAAAAATATCATATCATTTAAAAAATATATATATCATTTAAACGAGAAGAAGATGATTTCATTTTAAATTAATAGTTTAAGTTTATAAATTATGCTGATTGATCTCATTACTCCAATTGTTTAATAGAAATAAATTTTCATTTTCAATATTTGATAACTATTTCAATTAAACGCCTTTTAAATATCTATTTATTTATCAAAATATAATACTAATACAATAAACTGTATTAGTAATATTAATAGATATTTTTATCGTAAATGTCAAAACAACCTTAGATTATGACAGCAAAAATAAATTAAGCGACATAAATTGCTTAAATACTAAATATTTTGTATATTTTTCCATTATATATGTTAATGTCTGAAAATCATTAATGTATGTAAAATTTCAATTTATTAGCACATTTCTTTTTAAAAATATTTAAAAAAAACCTTCTCCTGTAAAGTTTGTTTTTTGTCGGTTGCGCTAAAATGGCGGTAAAGGCTCGATATTATTTACGAAGCACCTAGAGTAGTCATGCTCTCCTTAAATCTCTGCGGTGGTTTCGTGTGCGTTAGGTCGTCACGTTCCCTCATATATAGTATAGTTGAAATTAAAAAAGCAGACCTTGCTGAGTTTTTTGCCGATTCTTGTCAGTACAAAATCTCCCGCCTTAGTTTTGCGAACCAATGGCAAAGTTTTCGACTGTCACAAGTATTATGTAACAGCCTAGATTGAATTGATTTTGATATTTATATTAATATCATTCGTTTCGTGGATGCATAATAATACAAGCTGGATTCTGCGCTCCGCTTTTTGTTCTTCATTTCGAATCTGAATTCGGATGAAAGTTACGAGCAACCAATAATTTGGCTCATCACTAATCTTGTCGTATAAACTAAACATCGTTCCTTTACACGTAACATAATTAACAACTTAAACTTACGCTTAAAATAAATAAAAATTAATTTGAAAGTCAGATATTCTAAGAAACACAAAATGATGTCATACATATTTATTAATTTTCGATACTCAATTTACTGTTATTATGTCAGAAACAAAATTTGAATGAATATCATAAACAAAATCCAAACATCGCGAGTGACATATAGTATGATATAGGGTATGTTCCGATATACACTGCGACCACTAAACAGTATGACGTCAATTTAGTATACTGGAAGCCCGTTCCTTTATAGCTAGTTATACTGGTGACTTTTTAAAACGGAACGCAGTCCAGTATACTGTTAATCCTATTTTGTGGCGCCATTTTCAAATTTGTTAATGCAAGGTGTGCAATAAAGATTCCCTCTTTTCAAAAGAAAATATTATAAAATTGTGTATAAAAAATTTATTTATCAATTAAATCCATCTTATAATAAACGTAAGTATTTCTTTTTTGTTTATTTAGAAACTTATCATTTTCTGATTCTGTTTCGACTGAGCACGTGATCAAAAGCACTGCGAGCACCTTACCTCGAAATATCCAGTGCTCACAGTAAAAATATGGCGGCAATTTATATATAGTCGCCCCTTAGATACAAAAATATTTTTTATAATTTGTATGCATTTTATATGTTATTTTATCATTACATTTTTATACTTCGTCATTCAGCTATATTATGTAGTAATTTCAAAATGTTGGCAAAAAAACTACTGCTTCTAGGTACCTGGTTCAAACCACGGCATGTAGAGGATATATTCTTTAGATTAATCCATATGAAGCCGCGTACACTGAAATCACTAACTTTCTTCTTCTTCTTTTATTAATGGCTTATCTGCGCATTTCGCACAATTCTGCCAATGTCAAGTGAATAAATAAATTTCTACATGTAAAATGAAAATGAAATGAATGAAAGATGGCGATGATGTTATATCTTTCAACCGACTCGGTGATGCAAAGATAAGTGTCAGTGTTGTAGCGTTTTGAGCAGCACGTTTGGTGGATGGGTAATGCAATAAACACTCGGAGAGATTCAGTCCAATTGATTTATTTTATCTTGAAATACACTCACGTGTTATTAATAGCATTCTCAACAAGACTTCGATTAAAATAATCAAAAGGTAAATAAAAAAAAAACATATGTGTGATCATGGCAAGACATCAAAACAGGAACAAGAAAGCAATAGACAACGCTTTTTATATTAATGCTCGGTTACACCTCAAACCCTGCAGCATCTGCTGTACCCTAGATTCAGAGCGCATATGCACGATTACACCTAGCTATTGCAGGTTGCATAATTCAACTCCCTTTGTAATCATAGAAACTCTCTCCAACCTGACCGGTTCCTGGGTCAACATATTTTAATTTCATTGTATATATATTAAAATAAATATAAAATTATTACATATTTTTTTAAATCACCATCTATGTTATTGTTCTCCGTACTGAGGCGCACCGCGCGCCGTACGGAGGCTCGCAACAACGATACATACCACCGCCATATTGTTACACAATCTACCTTCTTTTGATATGTCCTCATTTCCTTTTCCTGTCTTTTAGTCTCTGCTTCCTTACCTCTTTTACTCGTCTGTCTTCTCCCTCCTTTTCTTCTCGGTTGGGACTGCGTTACCTGTCTCTGACTCTATGCTGGCAGGTGCGGTGTCCTGACTTCGCGTTTTGGAGAGTGGTCCTCATATCTGAGTTGCAGCTTGACGCACTCGAATGGGGGTTGTCTTCCCGATGTACAAACTAGCAGTGGGTCTTCTGGATCCTTAAAACACAAACACAAAAGATAAATTTACATACAAAGTCCAGCTCTGCGATTCTGTAAAAATTCAAAGTCGAATTCGAATTCACTCAGGTGTCCGAATTCACTTCAAAAAGCTGCATCCGGTCAACCATGAATTGGTAATAACGTTTCGTGACATAAGTGAAGTGAGTATCGAAATTACATAGGAATAGAATATCTGAGACACATATATTCAATCAATTTTGTTTTGTGTTTTTATACAAAAAATGGAATCAATAAAATTTTTAAACTAAATGATGTAAATTTGGACACATGAGTGAATTCGAATTTTTACAGAATCGCAGGTGTGCTCTACGACTCTCCTCTTTCTCGCCACAAGATTTTGATTTTGGACTCGAAATTGTGAAAGTTTTGTTAGATTTGGGAGAACATTCAGGATATCTTATATTAAAATAGAGTTATAAATTGTTCCTAATAAGCACTATATTTTTGTGTATACCACTGTATTTATACAAACACTGTCATGATTTTCATTAAGAATATACTGTAATATATATAAGATATATTTATATAACTTTAGATTAATCCAATCCACATCAAATACATTTAGCAATAAAAATCCAGGAAGGTTTTATAAGAAAAAATATTATAATTTAATTCATATTTGTAAAACTTGTAAAAATAAAATACAATCTACAATACCGCATATTTTTTTATTAAAAACAACACTGCAGGGGCTCAGGAATTTCTTATGGATGGTTAAGGAGGATGGGCCACGACCCTTTACGCTGGCCCAATGCGGATTGGAGAGTATTAACGACTGAAAATGCAGCCGAGGCCAACGGCTTAACGTGCCTTCCGAAGCACAGAGTAGCTCGAGATAATAATTTTTTTGGTCACCCATCCCGTGACCGACCCTTGCGAAAGTTGCTTAAGAACTCCACTATCCACTACACCATTGAGCCACTCCGTGGTCTACTTACTTGCACTCAATAAAAGACTTGGCTCTTCAATAAAACTAAACAAATAATTTTTTAATTTGAAAGGGTGGTGGTGGTGGTATAGATTACTGTCCTTGCGGCAAAGTTCTCTAGAAATAATGTAAATATGAATAGTATGCATTCAATTAAAATATCAAAATAAAAGGGCGGTAAAGGTTTCTTCCGCCCCGGGTGGTTATACATCACTGCCGCTTCCAGATACGAGCGCCCTTGCCAGTTGTCTTTTTTAACGCAGAGGAAATGCATTAAATCAGGGCTCATTTAATACGAGTTATGCTATTTCTCATAAGAGTCAAGTGTCAAATTTCGTCAAAAGTCAATGATAGTAGTATTAGGGCGCTTGTGCACTACACTGAATTTTCATGTCCGGCGGTCCGATTTTTTCAGGTCCGATATGTCAGGCCATATATAAGTAATGCTAGCCTGTGCACTATCAGGAATTTTACCGTCCGGGATTTTACTTTTCTCTATTCCGGACCGGTTTTTTCAGGTCCGTGATGGCGGCAATGAAAAACGTATTTACGCTTGTGCACTGCTGTGTCCGCGATCCGGAAAATTCATAAAGAATAGGCTTGGGAAAAAATATTCGATTTGTGTAAAATCGATATTTATTTCGGCAATATTGTAATTTTCCAATAAACTTATAATCGATATTTATTGTAGATTATAAAATGCTATATTTTATATGATGATTTTAAAAAGTTGGTAAATATCACTGCATATGCTTTGGCAAACTCGGTGTAGTTCTAATTTGATCAGCATATGGTTCTAGTATCGATACTTAGCTAGATTTTAGAATCGTATTAAAAGTATCGATAACTTAAGGTAAGATAAATAAGTGTTGTTACGCTTAGACGCCTAAACAACTGAACCCATCTTAATGGAAATTAATATAGTAAATAGACTTAACTTTAAGAAAGGACATAGGCTAAATTTTATCACGAAAAATAGGGCATGAAAGTTGGCCTGGAAATTTGTCATTATCAATTTTTTTTTAGACAATTGATAAGTATAGATAAATATTTAATAACAGAAGTAATAATAAAGAATAAACAGAAGATTAACAGAAGTAATTAAGTGGCACTCAATGTCTTTTTCGCATTTAATAAAATTTAAAATGACTGTTTGTGTCATAAATAAATTTAAAAAAAGAAGTATTCTAAGGGAAAAGTATTTCTGCTCAAAGAAACTACACCATGCGTATAAAATTATGCCTATATATAATACAGTCAACTGATCTCGTAAAGTTCATTTAGCATATTAATTCTCCGCTTACACGGCACTAAATTTGTTTACGAATGGCGCCACCGATTAGTCTCTCTGTAATCGCTTAAAGTTGTTTTTACAAAACTTCACAAAAAAATCGCATGTTTATAAATTTAAACATCAAGTAATTTTATTCTAATGTCACAGATATTTTTAGCTATTGTATGTAAATAATGCTGTCCCTAAATTAGTAAGGGTATAAGTTTTTACATCTGATAGTAATCATCCGATAGTAATAAAAAATATGCTTTCGTCTTGCCTCAATTTATTATGGTTTTTGTAAAATGATCAGGTCGTTATTTAGGTATCTTTCTACATCTTCGAACGCAATTACCGACGTTCCAAAAATCTCATCGTACCTAGCGTAAGTGACGTGTAGCTTCAAAAAGAGCTGCCCTACACTGCGCCGCTTCGATCAGGAAAAAAACGGATAAGTGCACAAGCTACTCATCCGGGTTTTTCATGTCATTCCGGACCGGAAAAAGTCGGACCGCCGGACCTGAAAATTCAGTGTAGTGCACAAGCGTCCTTAGGGGTAAAGTATGAAATTGCCGTTTTATTTGAATAGGTTCCTTGAATTGACATAGAATCTTCATGATTTGAGGTTTTCGAAAGAAACTTTTTCACATGGTTTCTATGATGTTCTTCTTTTAAAAAATGTGAAACATTTGAACGTCGATTTTCAATTGTTTTTGTTATTCAACTTAGAAAAGAAAGATGGATACTGCGAAGATTCAAGTGATGGGGTCTGCTAGTGAACGCACCGTGCGATTTTGGTTTAAACGCTTTCGTGATGGAAACTACGACTTGAAGAACGAGCCACGAGAAAGACCGTCCACACAGATGAATTAAGAGAGATGGTGGAAGCCGATCTTAGTCAAAATACCCAGGAATTAGCGGCATGGTTTAACGTTACCTTACACAAAATATTGACTCATTTGCGTCAAATGAATATAATAAAAAAATATGAAAAATGGGTGCCTCATGATTTGACTGATCTACAGAAAGAAATGCGTGTTGAAACTTGTGTTGCCTTGTTGAATCGGTACAGAAATGAAGGTATTTATTACTCACTTTACTTTTCTCTAATTTGGTCAAGTAATAACGGCAGATGTCTTTTGTGCCGAACTCCGAACAATGTTGGCAAAACTAGCAGTAAAACAGCCCTGACTCATGAATCGATCTTCACCATTATTGCTTCATGACAACGCGAGACCTCATACAGCACGAGAAACCGTTTTGACCCTTCAGGAACTGTAGTTAGAAACCATTCGTCATCCTCCGTATTCGCCAGTCCTTGCTCAACAGACCACTATTTTTTCCTGATTTGGACAATTATCTACGTGACAAGAAGTTTTCTTCCCAGGAGGCAGTACAAAATGCTTTTACATAGTTTGTGCAGTCTAGATCCTCAGAGTTCTATCGCAAAGGCATAAATGACCTTCCTATTAGATAACAGCAATGTATAGATAAAAATGGGAACTATTATGATTAAATAAATTTCTTAAAAATTAAAAAAAAAAAAAATTTCAATACAAATCAGCAATTTCATATTTCAACCCCTATTATATAAAATAAGTTAGAAGGAAAAGTGTTACTGTATATCTAGGCTAAAGAACGAGTAAGTCGATATTTTTAACCGACTTCAAAAAGGAGGAGCTTTCTCAATTCTACCGTATATGTGCTTTTTATGTTTTTTCGTCCGATTACTTCGTTTTTTATGAACCGATTTTATTTTTTTTATTAGACAGCTTATGGGCCCGGAGTCGAGTTGTTTGTTTTGTTTTTATAACAAAACAAAACATGCCTTTCACCAAATATCAGCAAAATAGTTAAAAAGATAGCGTATTTTGCATTCATTCAAAATTTGTATGAAGCAATTTCCGTGTTCAACGAAAAATTCAATAGATATCATTAAAAATCATGAAATAAATATTTTTTGAAAAAATGGAACCGAAACTTTAAAAAGTATTAAAAACGACTTCATTATTCAAGAAACTGCTATTTATCTACAGATTCCACATATGATATCTACAGAAACGCCTCCGTCTGATATCGGTTAAATGTTTTGAAACAAGTTTTTACTTTGGCTTTGGAAGAAAATATCTATGACATGGGCAACCATGGAACTAAACTGCGCGAACATGTAGTACTTGGCCTGTTCCTTCAGCCGCTCATATATTGAAAATCTATAGAAATGGTAAATCATATAACCATAAGATGCGCTAAGATAGTGTTAATCAAAACCTATGTTATAAAAGAAGTATGAATTTAGTGTGGGTCGCCGGCTGTGTCACCTCCACCGCGGCATGTAAGTGAGCGTTGGAGCCGGCCCCACCACGGCCTACGCCGTTGCCATTCACTCGCGCGCATTTCTACTTCGACTGTCAAACATCGCGCGCGCACCTCTAAAGGAGTTTAATTTTGTTTGTGAAGAATTTTTAACGTGATGGAGAAGGAGCACCAACCCGACTCCATGGCCACCATAACTATGAAACCCGAGTATCCGCCGTCTGAAGTGTACAGCGCATCGGAACCGCCACCGGTATGAGACACCCGTTATTTGTTTCACTTTATGTTATGCAGTTAAGAGACGGACCTACTTGTCAGTTTGTAATGATCTAATAAAAAATGGTATGCTGTTTATAGTTCAGATGAAATTGAAGATTTAAGAATGGCAAACAAATATTACAATAATAATTTATTTATATAATCAATTGACGTAAATAATTTAAATCTAGATAACCTTGCCCTTAAGCTATTGTGAAAACTTTTAAGACCTTGACTCCTAAAATTATTACATGTTAAAATAATTATATTGATAGATTAATGTAAAAGAGTTTCATTTATTTAAATTAGAGCTTATCTAACTATAATGATGTGAAGATTTAATTTTTTTACTGATTAACGTGTTATAATTTCACTATTATCATTGGCTTATCTCAGAGAGGTATTAGTATGATCATAGATTGAATCGACATAATGGTGTTGTTGGTGACTAAGTGCAGTTTAAGTTGTGGAAAGCGCCTTTCTCTCGACTGCAGCGGCCGCTGACGCGTATCAGCTGTTTGTAAACACCCGGTAGCGCGGTGCCAAAGAGAATACAATCACTAACCATTACTGAGTTAACATGTCTACTCAATCCACGCCCAATATTATTTCAATATAAGATTGACCAATAAACAATTGGATTTGAAATTGTCAGGACTTATTAGAATAAGAAACACTATTCCTAATGAATGAGAAATAAAAAAGAGCGATTTCTGCTCAATGGCTTAAGCACCTCTTAGAGAGAGGTAGATAATCCTTTTTTATTTCTCTAGAATCAAAGTAATTCTGTTCTGGTGATATTTTATAAACTGGGGACGAAATAGTGGATTTTCTATATCGGATTATCTGGACAATATGTAAAATATATATAATAAATTGAAGAATAAAAGTGTATTGAATTTTAGTATGACAACTTCGTTGAATTACCTTTATTAAAAATTCAGTTTAGTTTTCCAGAGCCAATAAATTTTCATTTTTTTTTTGCTTATTTAGAAGCAAGGGAACTTTTTTTTTATACAACCACTATGTAAAATTAGTTAATTGAAACCCTCTCTCACTTCCATTGTTTTAGTTTAACCATATCAGACCTTTTTAAGAAATAAGTGAGAAAAGAAGACACTGTACCTATGACATTTATTTTCGGAATAAACTGTTCTCATTTATCACCATAAGAAAAATTAAACACTTTTTCTCATTTTCTTGTTATTTAATTAAGGCATATTCTTTAAAAAGATGCTTTGAAGTCATCTGCAAGTGATGAGAGTTTTGCCAAGAGTAGGTAGTTAGTATATTTTTACCTTTGATTTTTTTGTAACTTCTAGTTAACACTTCTTGAGATATGATAAGAAAGATGATATTAAAATTAAAATTTGTATTTGATTTGGGTCAGTTAAAATGACCATTATAGGTAATTATGCAGTAAGGTTATGTGTATAATTTTTTTTTAAATAACAGTTTTTAAAGCTAAAAATATGATTATATTATCAAATAAATAAATAATAAAATATAACAATAAGATATTATTCACTAAATTCGATACGAAACTTTGGATGGTTTCTAGAAAGTGATTTGAAAAGGCCATATTAATTTCAGTTTTATCACGTAAATGCTAGGTTAATTTGGACGGATATTTAGCACAAGGAAATAGTATGGTTAAAAACGATAATCTTACGATTCTGCGAACAGTGACATGCATGAATGTGAGAAACCCATTGTTCCATTGTCCCTGGTCATTTATTATCATAGCTACGTTGTCTACCATCACGCAAGTCCATTAAACTGCTCAACACTACTTGGGTAGATAAAGATAAATGGATAGTTGGTGGTTTCCCATTAAATAATAATAAATTATGAATATTAAAACGTATACTGATATAGATACATTTGTTCCGTAGAAGCTTGAAGTAAAACTGAAATGAATAAGAGAACATACAATTTCACTACTAAAATTAACAATCATAATGTAATCGCAAAATAATCAGTTTTTCTTGTTGATTTAACTATAGTTAGTTTTCACAAATTATTGCTACTTTACCTCATAAAAATATCATAGTAATGTCTATTATGTTATATTTAAGTACATATACCTACATAGAATAACATTTAATTATGAAGTTTCTCATATATTTTATGCTGAGGACGATTACAAACATGGTACATGAGTGGCAGTAGTACATATTAATCCTTCTAATAATAAAATCAGACAGAGAAATATGTGTAGAGACGCAAAACAATAAGGTATGAATACTAAACAATTGTCATTGGTTACAATAATATAAAAGCAAAGAATTAGTACAAATAGTTAAACAATAAACGACACGGTTTGAGTGAAATCGTTATTGGCCTGTTGACTAAACGGACACAATGGGTTGCGTCATGGCGAGTCGGTGCAGCCGATAGAGTCCGAGTCAGGCTGCAAAACTAGATATATAATACTTTGCCTTTTGCCGTAACATCCTGCTTTGGTGCTTCGGAAAACTTTATTGTTTACATGGAAAATAAATAAGGCTTTGTCAATTTAACATGGTGATCTGAGGCCCTCATACTACGCATAGCGTTCGTCTTGGTTAGGAATAAAACACGAAGTAGTTATTACTCTTAACAGTGAATTGATTAAATTATCTCATAAGTAGTTAGTTAGTTAGGAAATTATTAGTCTAGTAAAGTATTTGTTAAATAAATAAAAATGAAGTTATCCAAAGACATCTGCCTTTTGTCATCACATGATATGAGTTGCGTACTAGATAATATGCAACTCTTCAATTATTATTATTATACAATTTATTTATAGTGATGTAAATTAATATATACATAATTTAAATGTTATTTTTCATTTTCTATTTCAATATAAAAAAATAATTTTGATAATCGTAATTATGATAAATTTATTTCATTACATAACACTTGTAAATTTCGAAAGCAAAGTTAATAAAATAAACTAAGCTGTTTTAGAACATTGTAGATATCTGGCAATTATGAGTATTCTTTGTTCTTTTAAAGTGCAGAAAATTATTGATTAAACCCTAGCTAGCTCATATCTAGTTGTAACAATATATTAATAGTTACAACAATTCGAGGTTCAACTTTTTGATAAACTAGACTCGTTCCGTAAATATGACGATTGCACAAAAAGTTATTCAGTGTTAAAAAACTTGATTATTTTATAACTAGTCTAATCATATAGGTTAGGTAGGTATTAGGAGCCTCCTTTATTCGATTGATTAGAATAAAACACTATTTTAATAACAAACTTAAGCAATGTAACATAACGACAATCCGTTTATTTATATTTATATTATGTAAAATACATAATTAGTTTACAACATATGTGATGTGTACCGTATTCGATGAGGAATTTTCTGGATAAACTAAATTAATGAATTAAATTTCGTGTTGTGTTCCTAAATTCCATTTAAAATACATTATTTTGTAGGCAACGACGTTTTATGAGTACAGAGTTAGATACGTAATTGAATCAGGTTATTTCCCCATTTTAACTACTCATACTTTGGAGATTTAATGAAATTTCCCGCTATTTAACTAAATATAATTTTTATGTAATACTTTGATAGGCTTAACGGTTTTTGTTGATACTGTGACGCAATAAAAAATGACAAATCGTAAAAAATTGGATTCGATAACGTTTATATCAGGCGAAAGATTTCTAGAGTGCAGTCAGCAAGCACTTTCACTGTAACTTCCCTCCGCTGCTGGCGCCATGTTTACAATTATATAATTCTGCCCAAGTTTCATTTGCTATTTTGGGACTTATCAATTGACGTCGACATGAATATGAAATTAAATGCAATGATATGTTTTAGGTATTTGTTAATGCAAGTTTTTTCGGTTACATAATTAAATATATTGCGTACCTGGCTGATAGGATACATGATATGTGTCGCGTCTGTTGCTTAAGTTTTTAAAGGTTTTTTTTGTAAAGCTTTCCTATTATTATATAAGTAACTCATAAGAACAAGATAATAAAAAGCTTTCCTTTTTTTAATAACTATTGATTATAAAAATTTTTTTTTTATAGAACATAACTTAGTAGCGATGCTTCTGCAAAAACTACGAGTAGATTAAATCTAGTTTCAATTCTGTTAATAATTAAAACAACAAACAGAAGTTAAGTTATTATATCTATAACTAGCTGACCCGACAGACTTCGTCCTGTCAAAAAGATTTGTAATGTGGCAGTTTTTTTGCCTACGTATTTAAAAAAATTCTCCTGAACAGAACCGTCACCCTGGTGATAGGGCGTTGTGAATAATGTGAATCATAATTATTATTGCAATGTATTAATAGTAATAGTATTAAATATAGAAAAAAGAGATTTTTATGATCATAAAAACACATTACACACAACAGCATTATAAAAGTAAACTATTCGAATTAAAAAAAATATATAAACATTCTCAAGGAAAAATGCTGGAAGAATCCATCTACCTGTACCCCGAAATGGGACTCGAACCCATTCGCGATCCAGGGACTGCTCTAACCAATGAGCTATCTAGGACCCAACAGCTTTGCTACTACAGAGCGTATTTTCATCAATGTTCCGGCAATACATGTAATGTCGTGGAAACTGATGCATTTTATCTCGCGTGCCGAAACTAATACAAAAGAAACGCGAGTTTCGGAACGCGACATTAAACTCCTCCAACTATGTATTCTGTGCTCCAACGCACACACGCACATTGTTTTGATAGATATGATCTTTGACGTTAGGAACACACCTACATTGCTTAGACAACAGTGAGTGCTTGTAATTTAATATGAACTTTATACCATAGCAATAAAGCTCAAATTGACTACGTTTTAGTTACAAATCATTTGTATGGGAAAAAGAAAAGGGCTATTTTTAGGGTTTTTCCAGCAATAATTCTAATTTTTCTCGCCGTAAAAACCATCCTTGAACTTCAACGAACATTTTAAAAAAAGATTTGGCCAAATTGGTCGAGGCGTTGTTGAGTTATGCGCTTACCAACACATTTTGCGATTCATTTTTATATATATAGATTATTGAAAGTACGAGTATAGGTAATATACTTATTTGATTATCTATGAGTACAGCGTAATGTTAAAACAGACTCAAATTAAAATGAGAATTTTTAAGTTTAGAGAGATATATAGCAGCACTGGCACCATGGCACGTGTGTTTATTGTAATGACTTATTGAATATACTTTTATTGTTTAACAGGCGTACCGGCAGCGCGTGTCATCCTCAGTACAAATTGCGAGAATCGCGGCGCTGACGGTGGTGGCTGCCTCATTCATCTTGGGAGCTTTCATCTTGGCCTCGAGCTGGGTCGCGGCGAGATCATCGTGCCATCAGCTAGAGCAGCTCGACGCCATGTTGGATAAGGAGCTGGCCTTAGAGGGTAGAGCGTATGGAAATGACGGATTACTGCCGGTAAGTACAGTTTCGTGACATCGCCTGTTCAGTTCCTGTATATCCTTAACTAATTAGCGCAGAATAATCTGGCATGACATTCATATCCATCAGTAATTTTGATGGTGAGAGATTATCGGAAGTTGATTACAGTAAATGAATAGCTATTTTTTTATAAATGAGCAAATTTTGTAGATTCGGCTCTAGAAACTGAACGGCGCCTATAATAATCGATGATTGCTAACAACTGTCGATAAAGATGAGGCAAACAACTAGATAATGCTCCTATCGATGCACGGAAAATCTTCAGAGGTACAGCGTATCCGATCCATCAAAATAAATACTTGAATTATTAGATTAACAAGTCAACTGTCAGCAAACGAATCAGGATCAATCTAGGATGGATAGAGACAGAACAAATTCTCAGTCAACTATCTGATGACCGGTTTTAATGAAAGTTGTTCAACCTCCTCAGTCTCAGGCATAAGGGCTAACCACTTCGCTCTCTCGCTCTTTGTAAGCACAGTATACTATATAACAATGGTTCCTAACCTAGGTGTAACTACCTCCGAAAACGCTGATTATGATTATGAAAATGTAACAAAGAATCTAATAATTAAGACCAAATTTTGAAAAAAGAACAACAAAACCATCTCAATGTGAAACATGATTTAAGACTTTCATAAAACAATAATATCATGGGTGCATCTAGTAAATATAATGCTATACCTAATGACATAAGTAAACAATATTTATATTCAATGCTTGTGTCGTAATGAACCGACAGTAGGAGTTCAACAGGAAACCTGTCACGATTGTTGAGTGTACGTTTTGCATTTATATATCGATTACGAGCTGTACAAGGAAATATATTAATGATCATATTTCTTTTTTAAATGACTTTTTTAAATTGAATCGATCGATTTGGAAATCAATAATATAACTAAATTTATTGCTTATACAGCTTTAACTTTCATAAATATGCTTAATTTTTAAAATACTCGTATGGTGGTATGATTCGATTTCTTTCCGAGTGGTACCTACTTATTTATGAGTAAGATCACCTTTAAATTGTAAACATCGCCAGGTTAGAATATAAACTATCGTTGATTTAGGTAAGTTAGGTTATAGCAGTTCTAGAAAGATTATAAAATGACTATGCTCTTATGAGATATGTACACCACAGCTACATATCTCGATACTACATTCATTTAAAATTTATTTTTTTCAATATCCATCTTATTTAAAAACAGATAAAAAGAATAGCAAAAGAGGTAAACCTCACATACATTTAGGCATAATTTTAGAGCCTTATATGTAGTAGATGTTCCTATTTTGTATACAAATTTTTAAATTATTCTTTTATTTTGTTTAAGTGTGTAGTCCGGTAAATATTTTTTTTATAAAATTCGAGGTGGTTTTGACGTGATTTTGCACTGAGGAAACGACTTAGTTTATCATTTTGTTATTTTATAAAAAAATGTCTTAGAATGCAGCTTTGTTCTACTAAGAAGGATGGATGTATGTTATATATATCTGTTTGTCTTTTATGCACAAACTACTGAATGGATTTTGATGACATTTGGTATATGGGTAATTCTAAGCCTGAATGTTGATTCAGTTCAACTAATAATATATTTTTATACCACTAAATTCCCATTCTCATTGAATATGTTTATGTAAAATATCAGCAATTTTATAACTACAATGAAACTAGAGTCCTTTCCGACGGGGTCCACATTGATGCAATGATTTTTGTAACAGCTTTATATTCTACATTGTGCAATGCAATGTGTATAAAAAAGCTCAATCTATCACCAGCAGAGTGATCGACTGACTCTCTCGCCATAACTCTAGCCATAGCTATGAACACGTTTCATTGATTTAATAATATATATGTTTATAATCATATACAACTTTCTTGGTTAATTTTTTCATATTTGATCAATGGTTTTGGTTGCTGTAGTTTTCTGAATTACGTTAAGAAATATCGCCATAGCATCACTATGATGTCGTATCCTATAGCCAGAGTTATGACTAGAGAGTTAAGCAGCCATACCTCTGCTATGCTTTTAAAAATTATTTTAATTTTAACTATCAGATTAAGTTACATATTCTTTAATTACAACCACATTAAGCAACAAACTTGCGTAAAACTAGTTAATATGGTTTTTGTACGTACGAAAATTAACATTTAATTATCACATTAACAAAGTCGTAAAAAATAGCTAGGTACATATTAAAAGAATATAAATAAGTACAGTAGTTGCAAATATAACTGATACAAACTATGAGTTGTTTGACAATAAAGGTGACCTTGAGAAGGTTTCGTTTGTTTGACAAATTCGAATTATTATGTTAATCATTTGTATCTATAATTTATTTTGTGTTTTATATTTCGCTAGATTATATTGTCTTATTCAGGAGTGTATTGTTACAAGAACAAATGATACCAAAGGATATATAAAAATGTTTTATGACTTTCACGATTTGGAAATTGGTAGAATTTATCAAAGATACACTTCAATCTTTGATAAATTCTACCAAACAAAGATTAAGATTGATAGGACATGTTATTCATTTTAACATCATACAAAAGTTTAAAATAATAATGTTTATAAATAAAAATTCAGCTTCTGAAAAAATATATATTACATATAATATATATTACAAAAATTGTTAAGCCATATTAGTTACTAGTAATAATTTAATATTACTAGTAACTAATATGACTTAACAATTTTTTTAGATTACATTTTAGTTTAACTGTTTATTTTTAAGCCATAAGTTTTTACGAAAAATATATCTATCAGTATGACATTGAACTTTTCTATATTGTTTCGGTTCGGAGTGCTGCGTTACCTTCGTTGTTTTGGTTTTCCATAACACAAGTGCTTTAACTATTTAATTTAATATCGGAGCAACGTATGCGACGTCTCATATTTATTTATTTATCTGTCATAGCATAGGACTTGAAGTGTGTTTAGGTAGAGAATGTAAAATAATTAAGATCGTCTAAATAAATTCTTTTAAATATTCGGTAATGTATTTTATACAACACGTTTTATAATCGTTTCCAATATCCATAATTTGTTGTGTTGATTCAACCAATATTTAATTATTTACAACAAATGTACAGTTTGGACAGTGTGATGTTTTGGTAACACATTTTTTCTTATTAATTATGAGATTACTTTAGCTTTCATATACGTTGGTTAGTTTTGAAATTTAATTCGAGTACAAAAATGTAAACAAAAGATTTACCATTATTTATTCTACAATCATATGTTGGTAACGAAATTTGATAAAATCTATATCGGAATAATTATAGATCAAATTCAAATGTGTAACAACTGCCATATCACGTTTTTTGATCTTCAATTAGATTTAAGAGTACAGAGAGAGAAATAAATTATTGAAGCTAACGTTACATTTTAAACCGTAACTACATTTTAAATACCAAAATAATAAGACAATTTTTAACGTAGGTATTTATCAATACATGCTTCGGTCCTTATTTATTGGCATTTCGCGCCTCAGCTACGAGGCTAAACTTGTTAATTAAGAAGTTTATGGAGCAGTCTATGAAAAAAGCACTAGGAGGCAATTTTCCTTGTTTTTCGCAGACGGTATATTTCTCGAACCTTCGCATTTGTCGCCTGTGATGTAATTGTGAATTGACTTGAGTGGTTCGCTAGCGCAGCGCGAGTCTTTTCAGACAGCGCAGGCGCAGTGGACCGGCTCACCTTGAATCTTTTGTTCGTGACGCAACATCTTCGACGCCAGCGCCAGACATATGGACACTTATGTGATCAAATAATTGTGTCATTGTTGTAAAAAAAATGTAGTCTGTTTATATATTTGCAGTTTGCTGTTCTGTGTCAGTTTTTCAGCACATATTGGAACTAAAATTTGTGTTCTGCTGTTCCGTGATAGTTTTTCAGCAGATATTAAAATACACACTTGCTCTTTGCCTTTTCGTGACAGTTTTTGAACTCACATTTGCGTTTTGCTGTTCTGTGATTGTCAATTTGAATCAAGTCAATTTTTCAGAATTTATTTGAAAATAAATTTACACTTTCATGTTCCGTGTCGATTTTCAGCGCACTTCAAAAAGATCAGTGTTTTTGCGGGCCTGCTATATTTGCGTGAAGCCTATTGCAAACTATGAGCTCAAAGGAGTGACTAAATCTTTGAACATATATCTGACACGCACAGCCAAAATATACAAGTTTTTTTCCTTCAAAGAAGTGATCACATGTCTGGGTTTGGCATAACACTGCTTACCGCACTAAGAAATACCAATATGCGTCTTGAGGTTGTTTCAATTGACACATCTTCGAACTGCCCTTTATTTTTTTACATATATTCCAAAAACTAGTGCAAGGCTGGTAAAAAAATCAGAACTTTAATTGATTTTACGTTTGCCATCGCCTGCGGTGTTGCAACAGACAAGGTTATTTACTAAATAACATAACATAACTCATTATCAAATTCTATGCAACTTGTTTTGAGATGTTCTTCTATATTTTCTAAAAGTTAGCTGATTTTTCCGCAAAATTATAGACCGTTTTCAATATTCTGTTTTTATTCAAAAGTTTAAGGGTCTGGAAGCTTCATTATAAAATATCGAAACCGGATTAGCAGTGTTGTTTTCATAGCAAAGCACAGGAAGCGTTAACAAAAATATTGGAAGATATATTTATATCATCGAAGAAAACACAAGATCGCATATTTTGCTTTCCTGTTATGTTTTGATATTCAAACTTAAGGATAGATTTATATTATTATCTTATTAAAGGTGCTGTTGCCAATTTAATGTAACGTCTATAGCACGCGAATAATTAAGACGCTTCTAATGATATCCGATTTATACGTTTATGATGTGTAGTTTCAAAGTTATAAGGGAACAGATGAATATACACGTACATACCTACTATACATATACCGTCCAATATCATAACCTTCCTTTTCGCTTCGCCGTAGTCGGGTAAAAACAACATATTTTATTAAATTCGAAT